CACTACCTGCATGCAGACAAGGGTACAGATTCGAAGGTGCAAGCAACCATGACTGCAAGGGTATTTGGACATAACTGTGGGGCGATCTTGAGATGAACACTCGAAAGCAAACTTTGGAGTGGTGTGCTGATCAGTGGCAGCCCAGGGCAGGCCCAGCCACTGCTCTCTGGAGTGACTGCATCAAGCCTCCACGATAACCAGGGGCAGGAACAGCAGCCCCATGACCCTGGCTCAGCAAGGCAGGCTCCCCCCATGGAAGCGAGCTGCTGACAATGTCTGGTGTCCGTTCTGCGGCAGCCAAGAAGAACCAAGCTGTAAACAGTCTCTCCTTCAGATCCACGTTTAACTCAAGTACAGTATTTAGCTAATCACAGGGTTCTGGAAAGGAAATGGAATCTTTAAGCCCGAAGTTTCACTTTTCCTTCTGGGAAGGAGTGGTTGGAAGTCTGAAACAAAAAAGTGCATTAGGTTGCCTCCGATTTCTTTCTATGTCTATTCTCCTTGGTGTGGCACAGTGGTCAGTCCCTCAGAACCTTCCAGGTAGGTGACAGGTGTGTTATAGAGATTTTAACCTGGCCCAAAGAAAGGTCTGGCCTTTGTCCTCAGCTGCTGGGAGGCCATCTCTTGGCCCTTGAATGTCATGCCCAGGGCCGGGAGGTGGGGGTGGTGGAGACGACTTTCTTTAATTGCGGACCTTGAGCACAGAGTCTAAGAATGTGACTCTACGCAGAGGTGTGGGGTCACACGGCATCAGCTCAACCTTAGAGGGGCTGGAGAGGCAGCCATGTGGGTGGTCGGTCATGTCTATGTGACCGAGCTCCTAGACAGCAAGGCTTGCAGGCTGGTAACGCTCTGTATGCGTCTTCCTGTAATGTTCCAGCAAAGTTGGTGCTGCCCACAACGCCACAGAAGGAGGCTGCTCCCTATGCCTCTCCCCTCAGCTGGTTCTAACCTGTGTCCTTTCACTGTAAAAATTGACCGCTGTGAGCACAGGAGCTTTCAGAGTGTTCTGAGAGTCCTTCCAGGGAATCATCGAGTCTGAGGGTGGACTTGGAGACCCTGGACTCTGCAGCTGTGGTTAGAAGAGACAGGGTGGGGTCTAATCCTACAGCTGCATGAACCCCACTGTGGTTTTCCCTGGGATTTCAAGTGTCTGCTGAGAACATCAGAAATGTCAACTTGTTCCCACAGATCATCTCTGAAAGCATTTGCCACAAAGTAGCATTTCAACCAGGATGATGTGTCAATTTTCCTGCATTTGTGTGCCTCCTCTGATCTCCTCCTGTGCAGCCACCAGCAAACCAGCAAGTTTGGAAGGCCCAGTTCCAGTCAAGAGCCAAACTCATCTCAAAGCTGGAGCGCAGGGGGACTTCCTGGAATGGTCTTATTCGCTGTCCTTCTCCTAACTGCTCTGCAGTTCCCCCAGCTTAACAGAGAGCTCCCAGTCGAGTGTTGGAGAAGGAAATGGCAATCCACTCCAGTGTTCTTGCCTGAAAAATCTCACGAACAGAGGAGCCTGGCGGCTACAGTCCATGGGGTCACACAGAGTCGGACACGACTGAAGCGATTTAGCAGGCATGCCCAATCTAGTGTGGCTGTCTATTCCAGAGGGACATGAGGTTAAACGTCAGCCACATGCTCAATGGAGGCATCACTGGGTGGGTACGACAGGGCTGGGAGCTCAGCTCTGTGATTGCAGCTGGGTCTCTCGGTGGGCTGGATGGCAGAATCCCTAGTAGGATCTCTGTGTCCTAAAGAAGACCAGTCTTGACAAGGGTTCCCTGCACCATGCCAGACTGGTTTACCACTGTTTCACACAGGCCGGGAGAATTGTGGTTTGCAGCAGCTGGGGGAGCCACTTTCTCTTATGTCCCTATGGCTATACACGATGCTCAGATGGATTTTTCTCTAAGTCACAGGATAACAGAAAGTGGACATATTTTGTCTTTAGTTTGAAAATATCCAAGGCCTTATCAATAGGATGCTGGTTCCAAGTGTCTATTGATTTGTTTGGTTCCCCAGTCTTAGTTGCCCCAGGCGGGGTCTTTAGTTGTGCAACGTCAACTCTTAGTTGTAGCATGTGGGATCTAGTTCTCTGACCAGGCATGGAACCCGGCCCCCCGCACTGGTTCACTTAGCCAGTGCACCGCCAGGGAAGCCCTGTTTTTTTTTTTAACCGAGATGTAGCCTGCTATGGGGAAGTATGTACATCTGAGGTGTACTCCTGGTGCAGGTTTTCAAGTGCAAACCCAGATTCCAAAGTCCCAGAGGGTCCCCAGTGCCTCTTCCCTGTCACGTCCCCCCACTGGAAGTAACCACTGACCCACACCCTCACCGTGACCGGCTTCTTAACTTCCTGTAACTGGAAGCATACAGCTTGTACTTGCCAGTGGTTGCCTTCTCTCCCTCAACAAAGTGTCTGCAAGATTCTTCCAGGGAGCTGATGTCTGGCTGTTTCTGTGGTTGGCAGAATTCTGCTCTTCCATTAGGCCACCGTGGACATGTTCTCCTGGGGGTGGACGCTGGGCTGTTTCCTTTAGGCCAGTTGTGATCAGAGCTACTGTGGATGCACATGTGCGTGTCTTCTGGTGGGCGTGTGCTCCCAGCACTAGGACTGGAGTGGCCATGTCAGAAGTGCAGTCAGTGAGCCCAGGTCTGGGAGACAATGCCCAGAGCCCAGTGCGCCCATGAGCAGTGTGTGAGGTCCTGGGACTCCACGTTCTTGGTGACAGCGTTCTGGGGCACATGAGGGGGCACGTCACTCCCATCCACTTGTACATTTCCTTGTTGTCATGACGTCCGTGCAGTGATCAGAAGACCTTTTCACATGCTGATTGGTCATCAAGGCAGCCTCTTCTGGGAGGTGTCTGTTCACACCTCTTGCCCATTTTATTTATTTTTAAATTTCTGGAGTGCTGGGTCTTCATTGCTGTGCATGGGCTTTTCCAATTGCGGGTTTTCTCTACTCTCGAGTTGGTGCTGAGGCTTCTCACTGTGGTGGCTTCTCTTGTTGCAGAGCACAAGCTCGATACTGCAGGACTAGTAGCTGGGGCACACTGGCTTAGCTGCTCCGTGGCATGTGGGATCTTACAGACCAGGGTTCCAATCCATGTCCCCTGCACTGGTAGGCAGATTCTTGACCATTAGACCACTAGGAAGCCCTGGCCCATTTTATTTTTATTTATTTATTTAAGGTCACTCCATATGGCAGGTAGAATCTTAGTTTCCCCACCTAGGATCAAACCTGTGCTCCCTGCATTGGGAGTGAGCGCAAGGTCTTAACCTCCAGACCATCATGGAAGTCCCTTTTTGCCTGTTTTAAAATCTGATTTTCCTTTCCCAGTCTGTAACAATTTTCACCATCTGTTAAGAGGGTGTCTTCTGATGCACAGATGTTTTTAATTTTAGTGAAGTCTCACTGAAGAGTCTTCTGTTAGCTAGTGGCGTTTCTGACCTCCTGAAGAAGTCCAGCCTCCTTCCAGGCCATGAAGGTTTTCTCCCATGTTGCTCTTTTCACATTTAAAAAAAAAAAAACCTTTACTGAAATACAACTCATTTACATCACATTTGTCTATCATCCATTTAAAATTAATACATGTGTGCAGGGAAGGGAGGAGTCAAGGTTCATCTTTGTCTGGATATGCCAGCAATCTGCATGACGTTCAAAAAACCCATCGTTCCCCACTGACCTCCAAGGTCTTTGTTTTCTTGGTTCTAATAAGGTTCTTTCAGAAGATTATTATTAGGAAGAAAACAACAGGGTCTGTCATTTTCATTGGATTTTTGTACATTCCATATTTTGAATAATTGTTGGTCTACATTTCTTCTTCTTTGTGAAATCTGCCTCAGAGGTGAAGTCTCCAAATGAGTTTGATGTTTTGTTCTCAACAATGACACAGATTACATTTTTAGGCCCAGCAGTTGAACTTGAATCTGCCTCCTCTCCACTTCATCCTTTGTTTCTCTTCTAATGACAGAAAATTCTTAGCACAATTTGCATCCTTTATTTGGGTTCTGTAACAGTCACTACTCACCCCAAAATTCACGCTAACAGTTTCTCCAAGGGATGCCCCCTGGGCTCACACCTTGACACATCTTGACTTAATTCCCCTCCTACTTTGCTTGTGACTAACTGCTAAGCATTGCTATAAATTCAAGTTGCAAAACCTTCCTGCCATGGGGACAGCCTTATTGACCTGGATGAAGCAGGAAGCAGAATAGACACTGGGGGGCTGAAGGATGACCCTGGCCGCCCCACCTGCACTCAACCTGCCCTAGGTGGGCAGAACATGCACACATCTCCTGGGAGGGCTGTGAGAGAGCCATGATTTTCTTATTCTGCTTTTTCCGTCTTTTTCACTAGCCCACACCACATAGCATGTAGGATCTTAGTTCCCTGACCAGGGATCGAACCCGTATCCCCTGCAGGGTAGCACAGAGCCTTAACCACTGGCCCACCAGGAGAGTCCCTGTTTTTCTTAAGGAGAGCTCCTGATCCACTCAGGACCCTCACTGAAGCAGAAAGCACAGTCTCCTCTTTGGTATCTCTCTGAGGGCAGGGACCCTGGTCTATGTCTTCTCAACAAGCGGCTGACCTGCGATGGCCCACGTAGACAACAGCAGGCGGGAGGAGGGCAGCGAGGGCAGGGGCAGGTGTCTAAAGGAGACCCCTGGCTCTCTGCTCCAGCCACAGGAGCCTCCTCACCATAGTCCACTGGCCACGTGATCGGCCTCCATCACAGTAGACACCCTTGTCTTCCATTCACCCCACTGTGGGGCCCCTCCTGGAGCACTGGCCCCAGACCTGCCCTCCTCAGGGCCCCTCTCAAAGGTCACCTCCCTGCCCTCTCATCAGGCTGACACTGTCTCCCCTCTTCCAGGACGTGAATGTCACTTCCCACGAGGGCAGAGACTCTGAGACGGAGAACCAAACCAGAGCTAGCGGAGTGACTGCCCTGGAGGCAGAGGGCTCACAGGGCCCCCCTGGAGCCCGCACTTACCTGTCCTTGTACTTGATCACGGCATCCACAATCTTCTTCATCTTCTTGGTGAGGTTGGGCGGGTTAGGGGAGAGCTTCTCAGCAGGTGGCCGGCCACGCTTCTTCTGCTTTTTGCTCTCGTCGTCCTTATCGCGGCTGCGGGTGCTGGTGGTCGGGGTGGAGGGGCCGGCGTCGCTGTCTCGCTTGCGCTTCCGTGACGATTTCTTCTGCCGGACCTCCTCTTCGATCTCCTCCAGCGTGCCCTCCTCGATGGCCTTCAGGGTCAATAGTGGTAAAAATAGGACAGCCAGCACCGAGGTCGACAAGCAGAGGCCGCGCACAGATCTGGGGGCCCAGTGGGGGACAGCTCTGCCTCCCCAACCCCGTCCTTCACGGACATACGGCGTCTGTGACAAGTTGAGGAGTCACAGTCTCATGGTGCCGAGCCGCAAAGAGTGGGCTCCTGTCAGCCCTCCACTGGGAGGTGACCTGGTCAACACTGTGCCCCAGACCTGCCATGTTGTTAAACAATTGTGCTAAGACCCACATCCCACAGAATCAAGTGCTTCAAACACTGTCAAGCGTGCAGTTCGGTGGTATCAGGGACATTCCCACAGTGGGGTCACCACCACCATCCACCTGTCTGTGCACAACTGAGGCGGCAGTGGGACAGAGCCCCAGACCACACCATGACCCATCGTTTTGCTCACTAAGTTGTCCTAGATAATTTCCTCTCGTTTTTCTGCAACACAATTTTTTTTTTTTTGCAACACAATTTTTAACGCCTATTAAGTATTTCCTCACACTGCGGGCCTTAATGGAACTTCTGTTCAAGGGCAATTTAGGTTCTTTCCAAGTTGGGGTGGGATGGGATGAGGGGGTGGGCTGTTTTTAAGTAATGTCATGACCAGACATCCGTCTGTCTTTCAGATAGATTCCTGGAAGTGAAACTGCTGAGTTGAAGGACGTGAACGTGAATGTTCATTTTAAAATAGTTCTGACTGATGAATTCTCAAAGGTAATAACTAACCTGAACACCCAGTGAGAGGAAGCCAGGTGTCCAGGGCAGCTTGGAATCAAAAATGGGAGGGGGGCCTGGAACCAAAAGGAGGCACTGGGTACTCATCTCAGTGACTCGCTGCAACTGTGAGCAGGTGGGGGCCAGGCACTGACCACCGCCCCCTGTGGGGGGGAGACAATCACCCACCCCCCACAAACATGGTGACAAGTGTGCAGAGTGCCATGGGGAGGGTGAGTGGTGCTCTGAGGGTGCGGCAGCTGATGTGTCCTGGTCGGGGGTGGGAAGTGCTTCCCAGAGTGGGGCACGTCAGATTTGAGGGCTGGGGGGCAGTCGAGGAGGTATCCAGGCTAAAGGGCACAGAGGGCACAGAGTGGGCAGGAGGGCCTGAGAGCAGGCTGGCCCAGGGGAGCAGCACGCAGTGGGCTGAAGCGTGTCCCCTCTAATCTATATCTGCCTGGAACCTCAGAGTGGCATCTTATGGAATAACAGGATCTATGCACACATAATAACTTAAGGATTGAGATGAGACCATCCTCTGTTAGGGTAGACCAGACTCAAGGAGACAGAAAAGGGCATACAAAGAGACTCTGGGGGCATCCATGTGAAGATGGAGGCAAGAGACTTGAGAGACGTGGCCACAAGCCAAGGAATGCTGGGGCCACCACAAGCTGGAAGAAGCAAGGAAGGAGCCTTGAGACAGAACACAGCCCTGTTGATGCCTAGATTTCAGACTTCCAGCCTGTGGAACTGTGAGAAGTTGAATTCCTGTTGTGTTAAAGTCAATGCATCCATGGTCATTATTACAGGAGGCTCTGGAGTCCAATACTGGAGCCTCTGGTCCTACACCCAAGACATGTGGGTCAGTGCAACAGGGAGAGAAGCAGGCACATTCTGAAGGGTCTGGGTACATACAGGGCCACAGCAGCTGCCAGAGAAGCAGTGCCAGTTCCACGTCCACACCTAAGACCAAGGAGTGCTGTTTTGGGTAAATCTCTCTTTTATTAATGCAAATTTTACTGACTATGAACTACTGAAAAAAAAGGGATGTTATCCAACGGGAAAGAATAGTCTTTCCAACAATGGTGCTGGGATGACGAGAGGCCACATGCAAAAGCATGGATCTGGACCCTGACCCCATGCCAAAGGTAAAAGTTAACTCAGAAAGGATCATGGACCTAAATGTAAGAGCTCAAACTCTAAAAGGCTTGAAAGAAAACACAGGGGTAGAACTCTGTGACCTTCAGTGTGGCAATGGACTGACTTTCAGACATGATACCAAGGCCAAAAGAGAAAAACAAATTTGACTTCATCAGAATTTAAATTCCTGTGCTACAGAGGACACCGTCAAGACAGTGAAAAACAAAAACCAAAACCAAACCATCCCACAGAAGAGGAGAAAATATTTGAAAATTATATGCCTGATAAGAGGCTTTTAAAGAAGATCTACAAATGGCCAACAAGCACATGAAAAGGGGCTTGACACCATGAGCCCCCCTGGAAATGCAATTCAAAACCACAGATACCACTGCACGCCCACTAGAATGGCTGGATCAAAACGGCAAACAGGACTTCCCTGGCGGTCCAGCAGTAAAGACTCTGAGCTTCAAATGCAAGGAGTGCTGGTTTGATCCCCAGTCAGGGAACTAAGATCCTACATGCTGCCTGGAACAGCCAAAGCCAAAAATAAAAGTGTCAGTGAGGATGTGGAGAAACTGAAATCCTCCTGTGTTGCTGGCAGGAATGTAAAATGGTTCACCCACTTTGGAAAAGAGTTTTTGTCCCTTCAAAGGTTAAAAAGAGAATGACCATTTGATCCACTCCTTGGCATCCACCCCAGAGAAATCAAAACATGTGTCCACAATATTTGTATACACAAATGTCCACAGTGTGTTATTCATAACAGCCGAAAAACAGAAACTACCCCAATGATATCTATCCATTGATGACTGGATACACAAATGTTGTACTATATACCACATAATGGTATATCATTCAGCCATAAAAAGAATGAACTCTTGATGTGTGCTAGAATCTAAATGAACTTGGAAAACATCATTTTCCTAAGTGAAAGAAGCCTGACATCAAAGGATCATGTATTCCATGATTTTACAGATGGAAAATGTCCTAAATAGTCAAGATTACTGTTGACAGAAAGTTATTTAGAGAACCTAAAGGGATGGGAAGATAGCTAAAGAGGAAATGGTTTCTTTGAGGGGAGAAAGGTCTAGACTTCATTTGTGGTGACAGTGTCACAACTCTGTGAACATACCAAAATCACTGGATTGTGCATCTTAAGTGGGTGAATTCCATGGTATGTAAGTTATTCCTCAAAAGAGGTAGAGGAAGAAATGTGTGCAAATTATTATTATACACAAGTGGGTGGATTTTTTTTTTAAAGGTGTGCATGCGTGTTCAGTCACGTCCGATGCTTTACAACCCCATGAACTGTAGCTCTCCAGGCTCCTCTGTCCGTGGGATTTCCCAGGGAAGAATACAGGAGTGGGTTACCATTTCCTCCTCCAGGGGATCTTTCTGACCCAGGAGTCTAACCTGTGTCGCCTGCACTGCAGAGGGATTCTTTGCCACTGAGCCACCTGGGAAGCCCTTTTCAAGGGCACCCACTGCCTTAGCAACGCAGGGCTGGCAGACATCCCATGGGAGCTACAAGGTCTGTGGCTGGGCTGACATCAGAGCCCCGAGCTGAGGGCTGGAGACAGGACACCCCAGCTGCCTCTCTGAGTTTTGCAGGCTTCTTGCCTGGCATGCTTCAACAGCTCCCTCTGGTGCATAGCTCAGTGCGTGAGCTTGCAAATCTCGGGTGTTCTGAGGTCTCAGGAGAGGATCAGGACCACCCGGCCTCACGGCTGAGGAAGCGTCATGACCACAGTTAATAGAGGGAAACCCTGGGGTGTGTGATCAGAGGCCTGGGGTGCAGCTGTTCATTCCAGGGTGTGGCAACCAGCAGGGCGTAGCCGAAAGCCGCCACCTGCCCTCTGCGAGCATTGTTTCAGGGACAACAATTTGAGGGCTGGACTCTCAGTCGTCACCTCTACACTCAGAGCTCTGGGGTGGGGGTGGGGTCTGATGTGTCACAGTAACCCAGATGCTGACCTCGGTGCTGGGCCCTGGGCTGGGGGGGCGCCCACTCCCTCCTCCCTGCAGCTCCCAGGGGTGATGCGGCACCTACATCAGGGCCACCTGACCCCATTAGCACTCCCAACGATCTCACAGGGAGATATGACATCCCTACTCTAGCCCTGGGTCCTCTGGCCAGCCCCCTCGGAGGTCACCAAAAGTTTCCTTTAACCTGACGCATGAAAGGCCAGCTCCACCCAGCACTGGGTTCTGAGTGGCTCAGAAGCCTCACGGGTGGGCCTGCCATGGTTCAACAGGAGGAACTGAGTGAACCTGAGCCATGTGTGAAGAGTCGCTGTCCGTACTGAGAGCGGCTAAGGGCGCTGCCCGGGCTTTGCACGTAGGCCCAGCCCGGCGGCCACGCCGTGCGCCTGAGCCCCTCACGGCCCTCTCCGGCATGTACCTTGAGCCACTGCTTCTCAGTCAGCGAGTCACTGTAGTCCACCTCCTTGCGGTGACGCGAGCCGCGGCCGAACATCTTCTCTTCCTCCTCCTCACAGGTCAGCCGCTCCACCTCGGCGTCGTCCTTGATGATCCACGAGGGGAGCTCGTCCTCCTCCATGAGCCGCGGCTTCCGCTTGGGGTTGCGGGCCTCCTCACGCCGGCGGTCCAGGTCCATGCGCTGTGGGGTGTGGCGCCAGGAAAGCATTAGCCCAGGGACGGCCGGCAGGCACACGCAGGGCACCCTGCCTGGGGACCCAGTTACATGGGAGCGGGGTTTTGCAGCAGCCAAACTGGCCGAGCTCTCGGGTCAGACCCTGGCTGGGACTCTGCTGTGGGGCAGAGAGAACTGGGAAGGACGCGGAGGTGACGGAAGTGGGGTTGAAATAGGATGGCGGTTCCATGGACAGCCTCAGTGGGAGGCACAGCCCGCTGAGGCCAAGGGCGTCTTGGATTCCACACCCACGGAGGGCGAGGGACATCCGAGACCAAGGCCCAACTCAGCCCCTCGGCCTGGGACAGGGTGATGCCCTCTGAAAGGGAGAGAGCCTCAAGGACGACAGGCACCAGCAGGATGGTGTGTTCAGGTATACTTCCATCCCTACGACACGCTTAGGAGACCACAGGACAAAGAGGGGTCGGTTAGGTGTTGTCTGCAGGCCACTCGGAGGGCTGCCCCGGCTCCAGCAGTGCTGGGGATGCCAGTGTCACTGAGGCCCCTTGGTCTGCTGGATGTCGGCAGGGAGGGCGCGTGAGCCCCACGCCCCATGGTCCGTGCAGGTGGGAAAGCCAGTGCCTGTGGCGCTCACCATGAACAGGTCGAACTCCTCCTCGTGCCGGGCTATCATCTGGTTCACCGTCTCGTCGTCAGGCACCTCGTCTTCTTCCTACAAGACGTCACACGTTTAGTCTGGCTGCGGGGGGGCCGGGGTGGGCGGCGGTGGCGGCCGGGCTCGGAGGCGAGCGGCGGCAGTCCGTGGGAGAGGAGCTGGAGGTCCCTGGTCCGGCTGCGGTGGATGGGGACCCACGCGGCAGCGATGAGGCACACACGCACACGCACACGCACGCTCCGTGGGGTCAGGGCCCTCTGCTGGCCGTCTCAGCCGAGAAGCCGAGGATTGAATGGGCGTGGAGACTGAACTACCCCGCTCACCTTTAGAGGTGGCTCCTCCGAGTCGGGGTTGACGCCCGCTGGCGGAGGGGCAGTGTGGGCGAAGCTGGCACTGCCGCTGCCCGTGCTGCAGTGTCTGCTCTGTGGATAGATAGAGGACTTCAGTCTCCAGGGCTATCAATCCGGCGTCTTTCACCAGCAGTTGTTTTTTTTTTTTTTTAATAATAATAATAATTAAAAAAAAAAACCACTTCAAAAGAAAAAGCAAGTATACTCATCGTCTTTCCTTTCAGCCCACACTCCCTTTACTCCAAAGGGATGCAAAAAAAAAAAAAAAAAAAAAGAAAAAGAAAAAGTGCAAAAAAAGGTAAAAAAAAAAAAAAAACAAAAACGAAAGCCGCTCATGCGTCCACCACTCACGCTGGGGAGGGGGTCGGGGCCAGTGCTGCGCTCACCTCGTCTTGCTCCTCGTGCTCCAAGATGGCCTGCAGGAAGGCACGCCGCTCATGGCTGGAGGACTTCTGGTCAAACATGCCAGCCTGGATCACCTTCTGGTCCACATTGAGCTTGTACTTGGCCGCGGCCAGGATCTTCTCCTCCACGCTGTTGACCGTGCACAGGCGGAGCACCCGCACCTCGTTCTGCTGCCCAATGCGGTGGGCACGGTCCTGCGCCTGCAGGTCCTGTGGGTGGGGGTGGGGGGAGATGCCATCAGCCCCAGATGTTTAAGGGGGAGTCGGGATACTGCATGCTGCTGGGAGACACACAATCGCTCGCCTGGCCGGCAGCTGCATAACCAGGAAACTTCAGGAACGAGACCTGGAGCCTGCACCAAGGGGACTTCACCTTGAAATCCTGCAAAAGTGTCACTTTCTACCTTAACTGGAACTTGGCAGATACTCGGGAAGAAAGCATGGTTTTAAAAGGCCACCTGAGGGGTTATATTCCTGGGCAGCTCCTGTCACAGTTGCACAGGGACCCACTGCTGTGCGACTAGGCCCCCTGGGTGGGGCCGCATCACCGACAGCACTGTTTACAGAATGTCGCCGAAGCTGCGCACCACACCAGGTCAATGCCTGCTTTGAATGGGGGCCCTGCTGCTTCCTTGCCAGGCCACCCCGGGCCCAGGTCCCGCCCGTCTAGCCTTGGGAGGCACTGCTAACACCAGCCCCTCTCATGGTTTCTGTGTGTGTGAGGGGTCAACAGGCAATGGATGCCCTATGCCTGGTGTGGAGCAAACGCCGGGAGAGTGGGAGGCGCGGGGCCAACACGATCTGTCACCCCGTGAGCCCAGAGCAGAACCAGGGGGGCGCCTATGGAATCCTGGGTCTGGGTCCGTGTGGAGCTGACCTGGAGATCTGCACCCCACCTGCTGGGACAGCTGTGTCACGGCCCCGGGGCTCAGCCACCTGGCTCAGCCTGTATGACTTCTGGCAGAGAGGACTGGCCCCTGATGGTACACCCCTAGCCCGCCACGTGTCTCATGACCCCCAATGCCTCCCAGTGTGGAGGAGGAGAGGCTCCACAGAGGTCTCACCCCCAGCTGCCTGCTGATGCGGGAAGCACACCGCCCCCCACCTCTTGGCAAACAGGCCAATCATGGAAGTCCGAGTGGGAACGACTCCAACCCAGGCTGACAGCAGTGACCACCCCAGACGTTCGCTGGCATACGGGCTATGGTTCCCACGCTGATAACCAGAGCCACTGGGTGTGGGGAAGGGCTCACTCACACCGTCAACAGGAGCGAGAGCTGGGCACCCTGGTGGAGGCCACTTTGGCAGAAGCAAAAAACAGGACAGGGACAGGCCTCTGGGTCGAGATACCCCAACTCTCACTCGGCCTGGGCCTCTGGCCAGTGCTCCGAGAAAGAGGGACAGCAGGGCTCCACGAGAGGAGAGTGGTCAGGCTGAGAAACAGAAAACACGGACAGCTGCCAACTGGGGTTTGAGTTAAAAGGCCTGGGGCCGCCATACACCAGGAAGGCTGGCCACTGAGGATGTGCTGGGGAGAGGCTTGGTGCACTTGCACGGATATGTGAATACACCAGCCGGTGGCAGGAAGAGACACGTGCTGGAACACTCCAGGTTCACACCAAAGCCGGAGCATCTGTGCATGCAGAGATGGAGGCTGGTGAGTGCTCAGTGTAGGGTGGGAGTGGCGGGGAAGGGAAAAAACGCATATTTCCGTTTGTTACTTTCAGTTACTGGTATTTGCATTTGAAAGAACTACGGGCATGGAGCCCCATGCAGGCGTGCGGACAAGACATCAGAGGAGCAGTGTAAGGAGCACACAAAGGCACCCCAGTGAGGGGGGCCAGCGTGAGGGCTGGGCCAGGACACGGCCAGGAAGGACCCCCTGACTAACAGGGACCTTCATTACCAGCCCACATGACTGGGGCATTTTCCATTTTCTCTGCACATCTATGTGACACCAGGATTGTTTTATTTCCCCCTGCTTTTGGATGGTGCCACGCAACTTATGAGAGCCCAGTCCCCAGACCAAGGACTGAACCCAGGCCCTCAAGCAGTGGAAATGTGGAGTCCTAACCACTGGACAGCCGGGGAATTTTCAGAAAAAATTTTTTAAAATAACGGTGGAACATGTATTTTCTCATAATCAGAGCAAAGAACTAGTTTGGTTTTGAGAAACTTCCCTCTGCACCTCTCTCCAGGTGCAGCCAGAGCTCTAGGAAAAGGTCAGGAGGGCACCGCACACACACACCAGGGGGCACGGTCACTGCCAGGGCGTGCGCGCTGTTACCTGGTGGGGGTTCCAGTCACTGTCAAATATGATCACAGTGTCAGCCGACTGGAGGTTCAGACCCAGGCCCCCGGCCCGGGTGCTGAGCAAGAAGATGAAGTACTCGGAGCCGGGCTCGTTGAAGGTTTTCAGCAGCATCCCCCGGTCCTCCGCTTTCGTGGTTCCTGCCGCGTGGGTAGACCAGGGTTAGCAGGGCGACCGAGGGAGGAGACACAGACAGACACCTGCATCAGGAAGCGGCGACCACGCCCACTGCCATCCAACCAATGGCTGCAGACTCTGACTGACGAGTAGCTGGGATCTAGGGTGACACCACTGACCGCCAGTCGGCCCGCCCCAGGAGAAGAAAACGAGCCCCCCACGTGAACTGGGGCTGCTGCAGGCACTAGACAGGCAGGCACTGGGGCACAGGGCTGGTACCCAGCAGATACCCGGGCAACAGACTGACCCCTGAACACTGCTGGAACCAGCTGTCCGGGGGTGGTGGGAGGCGCTGCAGTGGTGCTGTTTCAATGCGCCTCTCCGAACCCACGAGAGGCCTCTGGGTGGATACGCGGTGCTGCTACGGGTAACGAGCGACTGGTCAGAGGCTGGAGCCTGCCTCCATGCCCCTGTGGTGGGTTTTCTCCATTCACAAAAGGAATCGTCTATACAGGCAAGCACAGTGGACTGTACAATGGTGATATGTCTCTCTCTGGGCAGGATGGCTCGCCGTTTCGTGAAGCCACAGCAACTAGAATGTGAGGGCCGAGGGCGTGATCCTCAGAGGGGCATCTAAGCTCCTCAGGCTCCTATCAACTCAAAGCAGAGGTGCCTCTGGTGAAACCAGGTGTCATTTTTGGTGCTGCTTCTAGCCACTCGCCTACACATCAGGATGAACAGCATAGAGGCCCAAGGTCCATGGCGCCTGGGCTGTCCTGGCTCCTAGGAGGGGCTGAGGCCTCGGGCATGGCTGGGGCAGGGTCGGGTCAAGGGGTTGCTCCGGTACCCCCTGCTGCACCCTCACTCTCAGCACTCTGACAGCGGAAGGTTCCACTCCCCATGTCACTGAGCTCCCCAACCCTTTGCCATTCCTTCTGGGGGGCGGCGGGCAGAGAGGCCTGTGGGATCTTAGTTCCCCGACCAGGGACTGAACCCATGCCTCCTGCAATAGAAACATAGAATCTTAATCATTGGACCACCAGGGTTTTCCTTCCCAGAGTTTCCGCCCATGTGGCAGTGACCACATGAAATGCTAGAGACGCAACCATGGTCCAGCAAAGAGAAGTCCTCACTTACACAGAGGACTCACGTCATGGAGAGAAAAAGGGGTTGTGGGGCAAGTGGACAGATACTCGGGGAGGGAACATGCTCTCGGCCTGTCCACTAGGGGGCGGGACGGTGTCACCATCGTGAAAGCTCAGACCCTACAGAGGCCAGCGCACTGAGGGAAGGGCAAAGGCTGGAGTGGCATTGTCTGGCCACAAGGGCCTTGGCATGGATGCAGCTTACAGCCTCAGGACACGTGATCACCTGACGAAGGCTGTGTTTGTAAAGGTTACCCTGGATGGAATTCTAAGAACAGTTGAAAGAAGGCAAGACAGAGATGCAGCAAAGGTTCTGAGCGGGAGTGGGGAGGGCTGATTCTGACGGACAGGTCCACCCAGCAACCACAAGTTAACGGTCTGAAAATCCACAGTACCATGAGAGGCACCGAGAAACACACAGCAAGGGCAGAGAGGTTTGGGGTCTCCAACCATGGATGCAGCTTGTAAGTCTTGCAGAAATGTGGTCTACCCCACACTTACTTCTTAACTGTGTTTACCCCAGTGGGTCTCAAGTCTTTTTCAAATGTTATTTTTTGATGTGAATTAATTTTTTAAAAGTCCTTACTGAATTTGTTACAGTATTGCTTCTGTTTTATGTTTTGTTCTGGAGGTCCCAAGGTACATGGGAATCTTAGCTTCCGACCAGGGATTGAACCTGAACCCCCTGCATTGTAAGGTGAAGTCTTAGCCACTGGACCACCAGGCAAGTTCCCCCAAGTCCGTTTTTTCTTGAGAGCCCCATTCACGCCACCTTACGGAGAGTGGGGGGCTCCCTCTAGATCCGACACGTGTCGGATCAGGAATCCTGCACACAGTCAGCACTGTGCTCAGCCCCACCTCCCCAGGACTCACTTGTGCTGGCAGCAAGGCAGGAGCCAGGCTTCTGATGGTCACAGGCCAATGTGGTTCCCAATGGACATGCCCATCACCCCTGCAACATCTGGATCCCTCCATCCTGCCCTTTCCTGCTTCTCCCAGCGCTTGTGGTTCTGGCATGGATAGGTCTGATTTCAGCTCCAGAGCCACCAGGACAGTGGAGAGGGGGTGCATATCGCTCACAGCAGTCAAATGAAAGCTCACCCCAGACCCCTGGGGGAAAAGACAAATTGCTTCTCTGTTGGGGACACTGTGTCTGTCCAGTGTTGGGGACACTCCTATTTCTGTGGGTGGAAGAAAAGCCTGGAACGGATGCCTGACAATGAAGCCAACGTGGAGGACAAGGGAGCCGAGAGCCCCAAAAAAGCTCCTCTAACACCATCTGGGTACCTGGATCCAGCTGTGCCTGAATCAAGCTAACCCTTATAGTTCAGTTATGTGAACCCTAAGCATTCTTCCCTATGCCCACAGGATATGAGTTTCTGTCACTTCCCACTAAAATCAGTCTATGGGATATACACTAGCCACTGGACCCAGCATTACGGTGCAAGGACTTTAAGCCTCACCTTCAGGAGACCTGCACGATCCTCCCAGGGCCCCTCCCAGCCCCACAAGCCTGTGTCACTGAGCACGCCACTATATCCACTCCCAACACTAGGCCTGGCATCTCTGGGCCTTGCCCTGCCTCATGGGGAAGGCAGGGCAAATCCGCCAGAAGCTTTGGCAGCAGTGGATAACAAAGCCCTTCCAAACACATCTCTCTCCCCGGCCACACTCACCATCGAGCCTGAGGTATTTAAAGCCGCGATATGCAAAATAGTCTTCCATGATGGTCATGAGGGAGGTCATCTGACAGAACAGCAGCACTTTGTGGTTGGTGGCCCGGAGTTTGGGAAGAATTCTATCGAGCAGCTCGAATTTCCCTGAGGCTCGGTATAGGTCCAGCCTGGGGAGGGTGGGGGCGGGGAAGGACACACAGGACATGAACCACAGTGCCCTGAAGGTGGGCAGAGGACATGCGTTCCCATGCACGACCTGACCAGTCCTGGGTGGGCTGGCCACCAAGTCCAAGGGCACACGAATGTCTCCCTTGGCAGACTACCCAGCCCCCAAAGTTTCAGCAGAGCCATTCCAATCCAACTAAAATAAACTGAGGCCACCCTAAGTCAAGTGAAAGTGTTAATTGCTCAGTTATGTCCAACTCTTTCTGACCCCATGGACTGTAACCCACCAGGCTCCTCTGTTCTTAGGATTCTCCAGGCAAGAATACTTGCCATTTCTTTCTCCAGGGGATCTTCCTGACCAGAGATCGAACCTCAGTCTCCTGCATTCCGGGCAGATTCTTTACCATCTGAGCCACCAGGGAAGCCCCCCGGGTCAAGGGTGACTGTGGAATTACAGAGCAACTAGGATCCTTGTAAGAGTGAGAAGGGCTGAGGGCCACCATGGCTTTGGTCATTCATTCTCAGTTTAGAGGTATGAAAATGGGCTGGGGGCAGTGTGACATGGCTGCTGACCTGCTAGGGCCAGGACTCAAGGCCAGGTCTGTGGGACCCCATTATGTAATTTGATACAAAAAAAAATGACACAGCAAAACGACCTTTGGCTCTTTCATTCAGGGCTCCTGCTCTAAGAAATAGTTTACTATCCCAGAAAAGTGATGGTGGCTTTAGCGCTGAGAATGTTTTAAGAGTAAAACCTTGAGGCTATATCCGAGCCTGATGATAAGGCCGAACCAAGCCGGGGCTGCACTTTATAAACAATACTGGGGAAAATACCCCACGGCAAGGTGGGTGGCATACTGTATAAACAGTGTCTCTCTCCTGGTGGGCAGAGTTTAGGCTCAAGAGTGTTGAGGGAAGCTGTCACGGGTCACAGAGCCCAGAAAGGGAAGAGTGGGACCTGGAAGCAATGTCTGGTCAACTCTCAAATTTCAGACTTTTTTTTTTAATTTGGCTGCACTGAGTCCTAGCTACGGCATGCAGGATATTAATTGTAGCAGGCACAATGTAGCTTCCTTAACAGCGATCAAACACAGGCCCTCCGTATTTGGAGCACAGTCTAAAACCACTGGACCACCACGTTAAGTCCCTGAAAGTGCAGAATTTTTATTCTCTTCTTTGGGCTCATCTATGTTTTTTAAGTTTTTTACCAGGAATATACTGCCTTTGAAAGCAGACAACTATGACAACAGGAACAAAGTCAACCACAGAGAGAAACACAGTGGACCATCCATCCATCCCGTTAAGTGAGGGAGATTCTCACCCTTGGACGATGCCGCCGGTAAACCCCAAGTGCTCGGAAAAGGACTCCTGTAATGCAATGAGATGTGGGTCAGTGGGGGCAGGAACAGGTGTCCTGGCCCCACACCTCTGAGCCCACCCACAGCAGCTCCAAGACCACACAGAGGGGCTGACAACAGCTTTTCTACCCCACCGACATGCCTTCCCATATGGTCTTAACCACCAAAGGCATGCCCAAGGACACCACGCACCTGACACCATCTTTGGAGCACCGAGAGGGAACTGTCAGGGGATTTGCGATGACCCTGAAACTTCATGGCAGAATGTGTACACATATGTGTGCTTTTCATTTAAATTTATTTGATTTTTTGGTCGCAACTTGTGGCATGTGGGATCTTAGTTCCCAGACCAGGGGTTGAACCTGAACCCCTGCAGTGAAAGCGTGGAGCCTTAACCACTGGACCATCAGGGAAGTCGTTATGTGTGCTTTTCAGAAGCAAGAATCCAGATTCTCAAGTGTACTGGGGCCCAGAAAGGTCACGGCTGGAGTTGTCATGAAGAGGGACATGCTCTCCACACGTTGACCTGGGATGGCGCCACACGCTGCCGAGTGGGAAAGGCGAGCAGCCAACCAGCACGGGCGGCATGACCACTCCCAGCCTGGGTGGGAAGCAATTCCAGAGAATAGCCTGGAAGGCTCCGTGGTCATCCCAGGTGGGACTTTCGTTTCTCTCACATACTTCTTTTCTCTTTCCTTTATTAAAAAAATTTTATGTATTCTTTCTGGCCACCACAGGGCCTGCAAGATCTTAGTTCCTTGACCAAGAATCAACCCCATGCCTCTGGAGTGAAAGTGCAGAGTCTTAACCAGTGGGCCACCAGGAGAGTCCCTCTCTTTCATATTTTCCTACACTGTTTGGATTCTTTACAATAAGGACCAGCAGAGAGGATCTCAGTAAAAAGACAAATGTACACGCATAACCTAGTTTACAAATTCTTCATCTTTAAAGCTGCAGAGAGAAGTGCCCCAGCTCTGCTGGGGGTCCAGGGCCTCATGTGGGCTGAGGCCACCCCACCTGGGCCTCACCTCGATGTGCTGGAACATGTAGGGGTGGTTGCAAATCTTCCTCAGCTGCATGATGGTGTTCATCAGGGTCTTGGTACCACCTTTGCCCTGAGGAGGCATAAGTAAAAGTGAAAGTCACTCAGTGGTGTCCGACTCTTTGCGATCCCAAGAACTATACAGTCCATGGAATTTTCTAAGCCAGAATACTGGAGTGAGTAACCTTTCCCTTATTCAGAGGATCTTCCCAACCCAGAGATCAAACCCAGGTCTCCCACATTGCAGGCAGATACTTTACCAGCTGAACCACAAGAGGCTCCCAAACTGGTTCTGCCTGGGGTGGGGTGAGGGTAGGTGTGGAAGGAGGATGTAGCGGAAAGCAGGGCTTGTGGAGCTGGCTCCTCTTGGGGTTCAGAAGCCAGCATGAAGCCAGCACTGGGGAAAGCAGAGACCCCCGGGCACCCCGGAGGGTGGAGAGTGAGGAGGGGCCAGGCCAGCAAGATGGAAGAGACACACGACTGGCAAAGAGTGGAGGCTGGATCACAAACACTTTGTGATTCATAAGGCCAGCTGCGCGGGCACTGGGAGAGAGTCCCCGGGGACTGCAGCCAGATGGGCCGTGACGGCTGAGGAAGCCCTCTGGCTGCGGGATGAAGGAAGGATGCGGGGGTGGGTGCCGTGGGCAGAGAAGTAAACCAGGGAATGGGCTGCCACAATGGCCCAGGTGAAGAAAGAGCCCAAACCAAACATGTGGAGGAGGAAACCAGGAGGCCGGGCCAAGCTCGAGGCAGAGGGCACAGAGTTGAGGGGACTGGAAGGATGATTTCAGTACGGTGAGAAGAGGGTTGTTAGGGTAGGCGAGGGGCCTCAGAGAGGCCCAGGAGGTAGCAGCCCATCTAGCCCCCACTCCTCTCCATTATAAATGAACGTCACACCAAGTTTGCGTAATGAGGAGGAGAAGGGACCGGTGGAGGTGGCTTTTGTTGGGAAGATGGGATGCGCCTGAATGTTCTAACTGCTGTGGTCTGTGCTGGGTCCTCACTGCTAATGGATGTGCCCACAGGAGCTAGCACTTCACGAACAAAGGACCCTAGACTGCTGACTGGGGGGCTCAGGCCCCCCCTGAAAACAGGCCCTCTGCCCCTGGTCTCTTAGCCTTATGGACTGGACTGAACCACACCAGCTATGATCTAAACCAGGGCCGGTCAACGCCTTCAGGATCACAACCAGACCAGGCCTTGGTCACAAAAATCATCTCCCAGGAGGAGAAAGCCTGCTGGTTCCCACGCACCCAGCCGCTCCCAGGCTGCCCACCCGCCCACTATGGACACCCAGGTGGGACAGGGGCCCGGGCCAACCTTCTTGTCCTTCTCAGAGCCGTCGGTCAGCAGCACCCCCTTGGCCTGCATGTGCCGATAGAGCACGCGCTGCAGGGCCGACATGTCGCACTTGATGACGTACTCCACCTGTGGGTACACACCACCGTCAGCCGAGCCCAGGTCCCCGAGCCCAGCCTCTCAGACATCCTGGGCCCTGGCCTCTGATCACAGCACACGAGGGTGATGGTGAAGAGCCCCCACACCCAGGGGATGAGGGAAGCCGGGCTGCAGTAGATGCACGGGACTAGAGAAATGTGGGGGCTTCCTGGGCCAGAGGGGCAACACAGCTTTCTTTCAAAGGCCTCCCCTCAGGCAGCCCAGGAACAAAAAGAAAGAGTGACATGAGGGGTGACTGGTGGGGCACCAAAGCCCCCTCAGGAGAGAGGGGAGGGACCACTAAGGGCCAGCAGGTGGGACTTAGCTGGCCCCTAGCACACCTGCCTTGCACTTTCAGAGACCTGTGCAGGTGAGCAGCCATCCCCAGGCGAGACTGACTCCTGAATGCTGAGCAAGACAGGGCCAGGCTGGGAGACTCCAGAGAGCCTCCCAATTGGGACCCCTCCCCGGGGCAACCCCAGCAAGATGCTGAATGCTGCATTAGGGTTCCCTCTACTCAAGTAAACACAGCACCTTTTCAGGCAACTGAGCCTCCACTTCCTTCTTGAGCCTCCGGAGCAGGAAGGGCCGCAGCACTTTGTGGAGACGGCGGATGATGAGGATGGTTTCCTCCTCGTTCAGGTCCACCTGGCACCCCAACGAGACATGCAAGCCAAGTGTTACCTCCAGGGGAGCAGCGACACATGGGCAGGGCCACCTGGTGTCACCCTGCACTCAGCACCTCCTTTTCAGCCAGCTCTACACTTTACAAGAGCTCAGCAGGGCACCCTCTTCCTGTGGAAAACTGCAGGGACCTGAGACCTTCCATCGAAGTCCTGGGACATGGAAGGGAAGCCCCCAGGGCACTAAGAAACACGGCAGCACACTGAGTGGCCTCCCCAAGAGTGACACAAACTCGTGTGTCTGGAATCCTGAGAACATGTGCAAACGGAACCTGGCCAGCACTGCAGGGGTAACACGGACACAGTGCACGGTGTAAACTGAGGGTGCTCAGAGGGCTCAGCCTACTGGGAGCCCCAATACCCTCGCATTTCAGCCTCCGGATAGAAAGGCTGCTCTCCCATGGGCCTGCTACTCTGACCAAAATTTGAATTAAAACAATTTTTAAGTGATTAATAAGATGACATTTGAATTTTTTTCTTTAGAATCCTTTAGTTGCAGTTTTGCTCAACTTGAAAAGAGGTGAAACCATGGCATTTGTTCCCTTGCTCTTGGGGTGGGGGTCCTAGAAGTCTGAAAACTGAGGGCTTGTTTTAATTATGAGACCCTTGAAAGGGCCTCAGTTTCTCCTTTAGGAGGGCTTCTGCCTCAGCCAATGCCAAGGAAGGGGGACCCCAGGGACGATGCAGAGGTCCCCCGGTAACAGCATAGTGGTCCCAACTGTCCCAGACCTGAGAAGAATCTCTAACTGGGGACCAGTGGGCTGGGGCATGGCTGCTGGGCAAGGGGGCTCTTTGTCTACCCTGCAGTCGAGCCCACCTCCTCAATACAAGGCTCAGGCCGCCAACCTTCTTCAACAAAAAACAGCTGACCCACAGACTACCAACTTCACCCACAGCCAGACAGATGTGAGGGATATAAGCCACAGCCCACAGCTTTTTATTTTCTTTAGAAACAAAAGGGGCAGATCTGACCACTCTCCTCACTGAAGCCACCCATCGCCCTCAGGGTGAGAATCAAATTCCCCTCGAGCCCTTCAGCTGCGCCTTCACACCTCAGGCCCGGCTGTGTCCTGTCCCCGCTCTGTGCCTGGGGCACAGGGTCCGGGAGGCCCCGAGGATCCCCTGGGACTTCTCTGCCCTCCTCTGCTGGCAGGGCTGCCATGCATGTGGCCAGGCCGGTTGCGGTGGGCACTCAATGCACAGCCACCCGGGGAAGCCGGCTGGGCCAGAACCGTCAGCGCAGACAGTCCTTGGAGCTGCTTGTGGCCCAAGACCATGGCTCCCCGCCCCGCCCCCTCCACCACGTGGCCGGCGGCTGCCTACCTTCTCCCCGGTCATGGCGAAGGGCGCGTTGAACCACTGCTCGAAGGTGCTGCAGCTCTTGAAGATGGTGGGCAGCAGGAAGTTGAGGAGCGCCCAGAGCTCAGGCAGCTTGTTCTGCAGAGGCGTGCCCGTCAGCAGCAGGCGGCGCGGCGCCACGTAGTGCGTGTTGAGGACCTGCGTCAGCTTGCAGTGGTGGTTCTTCATGCGGTGGCCTTCGTCCACGATCATGTACTTCCAGCGGATCTGCAGGCCGAGAGCGGGTGATCAGGGGAGGACATGCGGTGGGGCTGTCCCCTGGGTGAGAAGCTCACTGCCATTAGGCACAAAGCCTCCGGGCAGAACGGCCCATCGAGGTGGGGAACGTGAGCACGACAGCATCAGAGGAGGGACCAGCGCCCCGAGGAACAGACACATTCTGCAGCTCTGTGAAGCCCGGGAGAGGACGGACACGTGGACAGGGAGATGGCTGAGAACTGCTGTCAGGTGAACAAAACTAAGTCCAGACAAGAACTTTGGTTTTCCAAGAAAAGTACATACACCAAGTATCTGGCATAGAGAAAAAAAATCCTAAATACTACACAGCCTGCTGATCATAGGTCCTTGGGGTAGAGAGGGGACATGATTTAGTAACTGGTACATTTCAATCTGGCTTCCCTGGTGGCTAAGATGGTAAAGAATCTGCCTGCAATGCAGGAGACACAGGTTCAATCCCTGGGTTAGGAAGATCCTCTGGAGAAGGAAATAGCAACCCACTCCAGTGTTCTTGCCTGGAACATCCCAGGGACAGAGGAGCCTGGCAGGCTACAGGCCACGGGGGTCGCAAAGAGCCGGACAGGACTGAGCGACTAAACGCTTCCAGTCAGCAGGTGGTGGCCTGGAGGCAGGGAGGCACAGCTGGGGGCAGACTGTGCTATGGGGGTGCCGCCAGTACCCCAGAGCCTGTCAGTGGTCGCCGTGCCAATGGACACAGGCTAGAGCCAATTCTAACTGGGAGTTAGGTTGGTTAGGCAGGGACTGCAGGTATAAACCCCTGTTTATGTGTGATTGTGATGCCCTTCAGAGCCACTCAGGCCTTGGCATCTAGCTCCTGGGGACCAAACACAGCCCAACTGAGGCCCTGCAGGTCAGGTGTCCCAGAGGAAAAGCGCAGGACTGACTGGGGCGAGGGTAGCAGCCTTTTCCCACAAGTAATCCCCATGGTGGGGGGTTTACACTGATTAAAGCCACTGTCAGACACACAGGATTTTCAGAGCTCTGTTCTCGTGTCTAGGATGGGCCTGGCTCTGTCCTGCGTCAGAAGGGTGACCCGCAGCACAGGCCCCAGAATAAGGAGGCTGGAGGCCAGCTCCCTGGGCCTCAGTTTCCTTACCTGTAGCTCGGAGATGAGTATCAAGCACCGAATGTCATCAGTATGAACATGCCCCACAGGTGGGGGTTAACGTGTAAAGTGCTCTACCCCTTGACTTGCTGCCCTACATGGTCAGGGAGGCCAGACGCGGCAGCTCAACACCCCCCACCCCAGGAAAAGAGCTTTCTGGAGGCAAAGGACTGTGCCTGTCTTACACCTGGGTCATAGTATATTCTTAGTAACTCACTGGTGGCCCAACTAGAGCCACCTTCACAACTGAGTCAGCGAAGAGGCTGCCTAGCCACACAGCACCCACTAAAGACATCAGCTCCGTGGCTCAAGAACAACGGGACACACAGGACCTCCGAGCACGCCGCCCTGAAGGCCGGACCCCGCCTGCTTCGCAGGCTGCTTTCCTGAAGGCTGAGGGGGGCAGACACAGCCACCAGGGAGGCAGGTCTGAGGCCTCTAGAGACAGGTGGAGATGGGGGAGGGCCTCAACATGGCCCTGTGAGGGCCAGGACAGGAAGGCTGGGAGGCATCGCAGATGACCAGGCTCTTTGGGCAGGAGCCCTGAGAGAAACTGGTCCACGAGCTGTGTAGATGGTGCCAGTCTCCAGACATGATCCAGGGCAAGCCTGGGAACACACAGTCAGAGAAGCAAACCTCAAGTCACCTTGATTGAGGCCTTTCACACCCACAGAGCAGCTGTCCTTATGCATATGCAGGGGATCACTGAGCAATGACTTGTGGCGGGTCTAAGAAAATGAGAAGCGTGACCCATGCATGACCAGCCTGGGCAGGATCACAGGCGCCCGGAACACACATGATGGGCCGAGCTGCCTTGTTTTACAGGTGAACACACACGCTACCTTTGCAAGGATGTGCTTGTCCTTAATGATGTACTCATACGTCGTCAGCAAGACGTTGAACTTGCCGCTGCGGAGCTGGGGGACGAAAGCACGTCTGGCTGCTGGGGAGCCCTGTGAGGGAAAGAAGACACACACGCCTCAGCCCCTCAAGTCCTGGGACCCTGGTAAGGCCGAGAACTGGCAAAGGCTGCTGGCTCTCTCCCGACTCCACTCCAGACTGCTGCCCTCCCCAACCCGGCCCCCAAGCGGCTGTCCCTCCCTCGACTCCAGCCCCAGGCCGCTCCCCCTCCCTGACTCCACCCTCCATGCACAGGGCCTGGTGCAGGGAGCAGAGAGGCATGCAGGCCCTGGGTGGCTTGCAGCCTGCAACCTCCACTTGCCCCACTCCTGGTGGGCAACCAGCTTGGCTTCCCATGCCTGCCTCCTCCTGGGTCCCCATTCAGGCCACCGCGTCTCCCACACAGGTGCAGTCCACAGTGACCATTCCCTAAGGGCAGCTCCGGCTTCTCCCTGGTTAGCAAATCTGTCTGGTTCCCTGTTTCAAGCTTACTGTCCCTGATAGCCTGAGCTGCACTCATTCCCAGAAGCTCTTTTTCCTTTAAAAAAAAATTTTTTTTTTAAACTAGAGTATAAGTCACTTCGTTCCCATAAGCTCTTGGCAGCAGGACAACATTTAGTTTCTCAAAAGCACCAATTTCTCCCCGCACATGCTGTCGTCTCTGTAAGGACCTGCTTCTTTCCCTCACGGGGATGAGAGTGCCGCGGCAGAGTGGCGAGCCTGGACCCGAGAGCCCTATGGCCAAGGGCATGACTGAGCTCTGCCACCGAGGGGCTGCGTGAGGCAGCCCGCCCCTCCCTCCCCACAAGGACAGGAGGCACTATCGACCCCCAGTGCACAGGTGAACTGGTCTAGAGATGGTGAGGACAGTGAGCAGCCCGTCACACAGCAGCAGCCCATGGTGGACACTCACTGAGTCTGCCTATGTGGAGAGGCCCAGGGGTGAGTGTATTCACACCAGCACAGTCCACACACCGAGTCCAGAACTTAGCAAAAGCACCCCTCCTTGAAATGAAATGACACAAGCCCCCACGTGGATGACCTAAGAAGGCACGCACACGTATGTCGTGTCATTAATGCAGGTCGACATCCCTCCTCACTACACATATCCCCTACTCCCCCACTCTGCCCACGCCCACCTCCTCAGGTGGCAACGTACCTTGTAGGACACCTTCACCACGGAGGGGGCCCACTTGTCAAATTCGTAGGCCCAGTTGGAGAGGGTTCTGGTGGAAACAAGGATGGGATAGTCAGATACTAGTTCTGATGTCAGCTGTTCACTGTCCACACTGATGTCCATGAGGACGTAAAGGCTGACGTGGCCATGATCCTGGCAGGATAAACTTCTAATAATTTGTGTAATGATTTCCCCTTTAAGGAGGTAGCCCTTAACTGCCCACCTATTATGTGTGGGCTAAACTGAGTATCTTCTCCCAGAATACAGTATGGAAAGGGGAAGAAAAAGTACTTCACAGTGGAGACACCCGCCACACACACTGCCTCAGCCAGGTGACGAAGGTCAGCCAGCAGTGTGCAGAGTCACGCTGACAGTAACTGCCCCCATGATGAGCTGAGAGGCGGGCTTCACTTCTGATCTGTGTTCCCAAAACCCATCATCCCATCTACGGATGAGAAAATCACCAAACAGACCCAGGCTGAAGTACCTCCTATAAAGCACCTGACCAATCTCCTCAAAACCACCAAGGTCACTAAAGTTATGCAAAGTCTGAGGAACAGTCATAGACCCAAAGAGGCCCGAGGAGATGTGAACGGTACATGTCACATGGGATCCTGAGACTGAACACAGAAGTTAGGCTGAAACTAGTAAAATCTGCATAAAGTTCACATGATGGTAATGTGTTTAGTTACACTTTCACTATATACAAAACAGGCCAGAGGGGATTCCTCACTTGTGACAATGTATCAGGGTCATGTAAGATGCGATCAACCACAGGAACGTCTTTGGTGCTGCACTGATTAAAACTGCACTTCCAATGCAGAGGGGCACGGGTTCAATGCCCAGTCAGGGAACCAGATCCCACTAGATCCCACGGGGAAGCCAAAAACAAACACACAAGCGAAAAAGATGTGATCAGACACAGGGGGAACCAGAGGAAGGTACACAGGAGCTCTGGGTACCATCTTTCCAACTCTTCTATAAAGCTGATACTATTCGACAGTAAACAAACCATCACAAGGCAATGGCGGGGATGTGCTAAAAGGACACAGTACTCTTCCCTGGAAAATCCCATGGACGGAGGAGCTTGGTAGGCTGCAGTCCATGGGGTCACAAAGAGTCGGACATGACTGAGCAACTTCACTTTCACTTTCTTTCTTAAGCAAAATCACTAAATGATAGGGTCCATGAGCCTACGCTGCTATGAAAAACTATACCATTAAACTATTACACGGGGGAGAAGAGACAGCTTTCCCTTGCAGTGGATTCCAAGACTATGGAAGAACGCTGGGAAGAGAAAACCTTGCCTGGGCACTTCCCAGGGGTATTATCATTTCAGGCGAGACGGATGCTGAAATTAGAGAAGAGTATGATGAGAAACAGGATAGTCACAGAGTTTCTCAGTATCTTCCCATGAGATACTTATAATCACAAAGGAAAACGCTTACGTTTGCATGGGGAAACCAGCAGGCACCACATAAGAGGAGAACAAACGGGGGACTTCCCTCGTGGTCCAGTGGTTACGACTCCATGCCTTCACTGCAGGGGGCATGGGTTCGATCCTTGGTCGGGGAACTAAGATCCTTCGTGCAGCACCATCCGGCCAAAAGATAAAAGGAGAGACCAAAGTGATGCTTTCCTGTTGTGGAGCCCTGGGCTTGTGCCCTCTGATGTGAAGCCTCAGGAAGGGCACAAGAGCCTCTCCTGGAGTTTCTTGCCAGAATTCCAGAGAGAAAGACACATCACGTGAGCCCTGTCTGAGAAGGGATGGTCTACCAAACACCTGCCTGGCATGCAGGCTCATGAAGATCAAGAAGAACAAAGTCGAGCTGGGCAGCTGTCACAGAGACATCACAACACCCAACAACAAAAGACAGGGGAGGGACCCTGGACCAGAAAAAGGCCTTCAATGGAGAAACTGACAACATCTGAACCATGTCTCTGGAGTCACTAACAGTTAGTGATGATTGATCACCATGTTGTTACTAGCCTGCTGTTAAAACTGTCCTAAGGTGATGTGAGTTCTGGGAGGCCAGGTAAAAGGTGTGCAGGAACTTTAAGCTGCTTTTGCAGTTGTTTGTAAATGTTAAATAATTTTCAAAATGAAAATTAAAAACTGGTATCTCATTGTAGTTTTGACTTGCATTTCTCTAGCTATTAGTGATGCTGAATAGCTTTTCATGTGCTGAGTTCCTTTGTTGTCCACCTGAAACCATCACAACATTGCTAATCGGCTATACTCCTTTACAAAATAAAGTTTAAAGAAATATATATTAAAAAGAGACAGACCATGGGACTTCCCTGGCAGTCCAGTGGTTAGGACTCTGTGCTCTCATTGCTGAGGATATACATGACCATCCCCTTTCTCATCTAAGATCCCCAAAACGGCAAGGTACAGCCAAGGGAAAAAAAACCCAGTCTGTAGCACAGCACGCTGGACACAGAGCTATTCTGGTGGAGATGAAGTCCCACCTAAACAGAAGGGAGGGGAGAGGAGCCCTTGGAGGGCTGTGGACAGTGCACAGGTGAGGGCCGCGGGCACAGCCAAGAAGCTGGGTTGACCCAAGGGAGGATGCAGCAAGGCCAGCTGCAGGCCCAGGACCTCCTGCTGATTCTAGAAACAACTCCCTCTCTATGAAGATCTAGTCCCACCAAGGAAGCTAGATTTATACCACCACGAGCAAGAGAAAGCAAAGCGGGAAATCAACTTCTCCCAGTAAATTCTGGAGGCTCCTGAGCCCCCCAGTCATGGGTGCCTCCAGGCCTTTGGAGGCCTGGCCATCTTCCAGGCAGGAAAGTATGTTCCCATGGGCTGGGGGCGGAGGACATGGTTTCCCATCACCCGCCTCAACAGCTGATGTGGTCCCTACTGCACACTGGGCAGAAGGCAAGGGCTTCCTCTTCCGAGCCAGGCCAAGTGCACACACACACACGCCTGGCCACATCAGAGCAGACCATCCCCTGGGCCCATGGCTGGACTGCCGCCTAATACGTGACTGGAACCAGGTCAAGGACAGCCAGTCCCAGGACTTATGGAAAAACCCTGCAGGCAGAAGAACCATCATGTGTCATATGCAGAGCTGGGAAGAGGCAGCCCCGGAGCAGCTAAGGAATCTCAGCCCCAGAAGGGTGTCTATGGGGAGAAGAGGCTGGTAGCACCAAGAGATTGCAAGTGAGAGCTTCCGTAGGACACCATCCAGGTATCAGACACCACCACAGCTAAGCATCTGTGGTGCCCAGACTGGGCTGGGATGCGACCAGCAGAGCTCGGTGTCCCAGCAGGAAGCCAAAACAGCACCTGAACAAACAGCAAAACTCCATGTTTCTAGTGGGCGGTTATCTGACTCCTGTGACAACCTGGAGTGGAATCTGCTGGTTGCAGGACTTGAAGAGGACACCAAGGACAGCTTGTGAGAGTCGCCCCAACAGGGATCATATGGGCAGGCACCCCAGAACCTGCCCTTCCTCTACCCTGTGCCTTGAACCCAGAGGCAGGCAGCTGTGCGCTGGGTGTGCCCCCCTAGAATTCACATGCTGACATGTTCACACCCAGAGCCTAAATATGTTTGGAAACAGGGTCTTTAAAAGAAGTAATGAAGGGACTTCCCTGATGGACCAGTGGTTAAGAATCCACCTTTCGAGGCAGGGAATGTGGGTTCGATCCCTGGTTGGGGACCTAAGATCCCACGTGCTGCAGGGCAACTAAGCCCGTGCACAACAACTTCTGAGCCAGCAAGCCACAACCACAACCCGATGCAGGGTCTCCCCCGTGGCTCAGTGGCAAGGAGTCCACCGGCCAATGCAGGAGACACGGGTTCGATCATTGATCCAGGAGAATCCCACAAGCCACTGAACAGCTAGACCTGTGCGCCACAACTACTAAACCTGTGCTCTAGCACCTGGGAGCACTAGAGAGAAGCCCATGCGCCCCAACTACTGGGGCCGTGAACCACAGCAAAAAGCCCGCAAGCTGCAACAAAGATTCTGTGTGCTGCAACTAAGACCTGACTCAGCCAAGTAAATAAATATTAGGAAACAAACAAAAAAAAGGAATGAACAAAAATGAGGTCCGCAGGGTGAGCCCTAATCCATGACTATATGACGTCCATATAAGAACAGGAAATGAGGGTACAGACACACAGAGGGAAGGCGAAGTAAAGACATAGGGAGGAGACACCATCTGCAAGGCCAGGAGAGAGGCCTCGGGGGAAACCAGCCCTTGTAGACAGCCTGGACACAGACTCGGGCTTCCAGGAAGTAGGGCCTGTGGTGAGGCCACCCAGGCTGTGGTCCTTCATGAGGACCACACACAGGCGTCTGAATTTGGGTGGGCACTCACGAGAGGGGCACTATGATGAGGAAGGGCCCATTGATGCGCTTGTGCTCCATGAGGTACGTGATGAGCGCGATGGTCTGGATGGTCTTGCCCAGGCCCATCTCGTCAGCCAGGATGCCGTTCAGGTTGTTGTTGTATAGGGACACCAGCCACTCTAAGCCTTTGATCTGCAAGGACAAGCGGCCAGAGCTGAGGCCCAGGTGGGGTGTGAGAGGGTTCCCTGCGCTTCAGAGGCTCCCAAGTTCCAACCCAGCCAGGGACCACCCGCCGCCATGTTCACTCAGCATCTGGCTCTGGGTTCACTCTCTTCTATCCCACTCAGCCCCATCTCACACTCCTTTCTCTGGAATCACAGGGGTGCTGTGCTCATGTGAGACAGGTATGAAACATCCTTTCCAGGCACATGTTTATACTGTTAAGTCTCTGTCACTGCCGGATACCAAGCCACACAGCCCACTGGGACCAGCCTGCCCTCAATGTGTGACCCTGGATGAGGGAGACTTGGGACGTCAGGGTAATGAGTGCACCACACGACTAAGTGCCTCAACAGCATTTCAAGATGAAGTGAAAGGTTTCCAAAGCTTGCAAAGCTTTCTGCCACAGGCAGTTAGAAGACTGTCCTCAAGGAAACTCTGGAAAGTTTCCTAATGGATTAAGTAAGTCGTGGCCATGTTCTGATTTCTGTGATTACACAGGCCTCTCTGGAAACGTCCACTGGTCACGGGATTCACCTTTGGAACCTGGCGTCAGCACACGAGAATGCTTGTGAGGAAAGGCGGGCTTCAGGGGTTATCAGCACACTGAGCAGTAGACAGGGAATGTGTTCTTTGGTTGGAGGTATGCCAGCTGTCTCCTGGGAGCTGAGATGAGCTTGGGGTGAGGGGCCACAGTCACAGGAAAAGAAGTTTCTGTGACAAGCAGCTCCCTTCTTGGCTGCTCCAGGCCAGGCCCTGACACAGCTTTAGAGTCACCATCATGTAACCCTCCCAGGCCTGGATTTCTGAGAAGGACTGGGTCGAGAGCTGCTAGGCTCTCCCTCCTAGCTGCCTCACACTGCGCAGAGCCCCCAAGGCCCCACACCCGGGTCCCACTCTGGCTCAGCCATTCCTAAACCGTGTGATTTTTTTTTCCTTATTGGAGGATAACTGCCTGTCTATTTTGTGTTGGTTTTTGCTGTACAATATGAATCAGTCATAAGTATATACATATTCCCTCCCTCTTGAACCTCCTTCCCACCCCCTCATCCCACCCTTCTAGGTTATCACAGAGCACTGAGCTGAGCTCCCTCTGAACCATTTGAGAAATTGCTGTTATCTATCTGCTCCTCACTTATCCCTCAAACTCCCCATGAAACTTGGAGGATCACAGTGCCTACTGCAAAGCTGTTGGGGGAATTCAGATGCTAAAAGCCTGTCAGTGCTCCTGTTCTGCCAGGCACGAATCAAGCACGTGGGAGAAACTGACTGATTGCACCATTTCATTTCAACCCCTTTGTCAGGACTGCCGTGTGGACTTGGCCCCATCCAACCTACCTGGTACTGCTTGAGCACACCATTGACCATAAGCGCTGACTGCTTGTCCACCCTCTCGGTAACGGCATGGGCCACAGCGTAATAGGACTGCAGGCCACGAGCGAGGGCCTGAGACACACCGTACTCATCATCCACATCTTGCTTGGCGTTCCTGGGAGGAAAATGGAAGGGCCATGTGAAGACAAACACTCTTACTTGGGACAACATGCTTCTGACACAAGCCTCTGCAGAGCAGCTTTTACGGCCTGAGCCGGAAGATGAGCCCAAGAGCAGCCACACAGTCTGAGGACAGGCAAGCCGGCATATGCTAACCTAGGGGGCCAATACTGGACTTCTGGGTGCCAAGGGGGCACCTTCTCTGTCACACCAGGGAAGGAGAGTTACTTTCTGCTGGAGGCTTGTTGCATGGTCCACCCTCTCTACTGAGAGTTCAAGGGAAAATGTACACTTGACACTCTTGCAAACCTCAATCATTTATACACTGGAGGTTTTGTGATCCAATCTGGAATTCTTTGAAAAAGTGACATTAAACTACTTACATTTTATTAATATGACAGACACAGGTGGCCCAATTTGCTTTATGCTATGTTTCTGTCCTTACATCACCCTATCCATCTTGCCCAGTTAAAGCTGGGTTTTCTTAGCTTAGAGCAGTGGTCTCCAAACTTTTTGGCACCAGGGACTGGTTTCATGGAACAGTTTTTCCACAGGGCAGGGGGTGGAGTGTTTTCACCACAATTTAAGTACTTTACATACTATTGAGCACTTTATTGTTAATCTAATGCTGCTGCTGATCTGACAGACAGTACCGGTCTGTGGCCTGGAGGCTGCAGACTCTTGGCTTAGAGGGTTTTTCTAATGGATTAAAAAGATTGTACGTTTGCTCTAGTGGTTCCCCTTCATGCCTAAAGGTTATATAATACATATCACTCTCAATCCTCTATTTAAGAGTATCCGCTAACTCTGTAGTTCATGGAATTCTCCAGGCAAGATTACCAGAGTGGGTTGCCATTTTCTTTTCCAACTCTGTACTGTAAGCCACCAGGAAATCAGTATAGTAATTTTAACTGCTTTCAAGGGCAAAGGATGAAAAATAACCTAAATGACCACCGCCAGACAAAGGCCACAGTACAAGACCACGGCAGGGACACTATGTGGCTGGATGCGGAAGACAGTAAGATGCTGTGTGTACACAGACACGGGAGCAAGGGGCAGAAGAGTGTCCCAGAAATGAAAAGGAAAAAAAAAAGCACAGGATATGTGTGGAAGACACATGCTGAGGAAACAATTTCTCCCAGGGAGGAGGGGGGAGGGCTGAGCTGGAGCACAAGCGTGGTAAATCTTTCGTGGTAAACCCCACCATCTCCTACACACAGGACAAAGCATGTGAATAGATGGACTGTCATTACACCCTATGAAAATCAGAGACATCTGAAGTTAAGTCCATTTGACCTATGTGGTCCAGCAATGGCTGCCAGCTGGACAGGGCTGTTCAAGGAGGAGCTGGGGTTCTGATGGCTTCTGCAGGTGCCCCCACGCAGGGAGCTGGCCAAGCGGGAGTGGGTGGAGAGAACCCTTACTCAATGATGTGCCGGGCGTCCACCTCGGAGACATCGTCGCTGTCGGGGTCTGGAATCTTCTTCTTCTCCTCCACGGGCAGGGTGGGGGGCTGCGCGGGCTGTGGCTGCTCCTCCTCCTCCTCCTGCCGAGAGACAGGTCCGTGTCTCCCTGGGTCACCACAGGGACGGCCCAGGGGTGCCCGAGGGAGAAGACCAGAAACTAGGGATGGTTTTACAACCGGCATGCCTTCTTCCTGCCCATCCCAAAACAAGTCATGCTTTTTATGTGCATCTTCTTTTAGTTGCTCAATATGTGATTTTTAGTTTTCATAGCAGAGTCCAGACACTTCTTTTTAAGGATATCTCAGGGTATTTCTGTACTTCAATTGCTGCTAGTAGATTCTATTCATACCCAGCCCTTCTTACATAATGTATGCTACTAAAACAGCTTTTCAACTATGTTGGATTTTCTAGGTATTAAACATTCATAGGCAACCTTCAATATTTACTGCTCTTGATTTACTTTCAGTTTTACTGACATGGCCCAAATGTCTAAAACATGTCAAACAAGACTGGTGGTAACAGGCACCATAGTTTACTAAGAGGTTTTCTATAAATTTGAGTCCCCTACATATGAACTTTCAAGTTGAGAACTTTCAAAGATGTGAACATGCATCCCATCAATGTCAGGTGTGAGTGACGCAGCAGCCTGCACTCCATCTCCTATTGCTGACGGTCCTTCAGCTCTGCCATCTCCCACCTCCTCGCCCTCCTCCAGTCAGGAACTCTTCCTGCCTGCTCACTAGATGCCCAACCCTGAGTGTCAGCTATTGCCCTGTACTATCACACTTTTCAAGGTACCATACTGTAACAGTGAAAATGTTTTCTTTATAGTTCATGTTTATGTATTCTCTGTGTGAAAAGTATTATAAACCTGTTACAATACGGTACTATATAGGCAAACTGTGTTTAGTTGGCTACCTATACAAACTATTGGACTTAGGAGCGCACTCTCGAAATGGAACTCATTTGTATGTAGGGCACTTACTATTTAAGTATTATGTTTCATTAAAAGGATATTTCAACATTAACTTAGCAGATAATAAAGGGGATTCTGTAGGACATATTGATAAAATACACACAAATGCATTTCTTAGCATTAAACTATCCTTGTATTCCTGTTTAAATCACACAAAATGTGTGTGTACAAGGGAACTGCTATAAAACTTAAAAAAAAAAAGTATCTGTTAATTAACCTGTTAAATTATTCCAATCAAACTCCAATGAAATTTCCCTTGGAGAAAAGCAAAATAATTTTATAGATTACTGGGAATAATGAACACGTGATGATAGTACAAACACTTTGGCCCCCAAAAATCATAACTGTAAGACTTTCCAAGTTGATACTACCATGTCAGGAATTAAAATAGGAATGGGAAGCTAAAATGGCTAATTCCAATTAAAGGGGATTAGCAAATTTCACCTTAAAAGTGACATGAAAGTTGGACAAAAGTAGCACCAGGAACCATTCCAGAGAACTGGAGTCTGAGAGGCACTAATGCTTAAAACAACTGCCGAGCTTTGTAAGTAGAGGGTGGGAGTTTGTAGAGATCTTACTTGTGGGTGTGTTCACCTCTCCCATCCTGGCGTGTAAGCTCTAGCAGGGTGGGCGGGCCATGAGGCTGCTGGGAGACTCAGGTGTTTTACAGCGGTGGGCAATGCCCGGGCCAGCAGCAGCCAGTGGAGGTGAGGACCTCAGTCATGGGTAGGGCGAGCAGATTACTGGCTGAGGGCTCTGCACATGTGCAGAGGAAATAAGACTAGGCCCAGAGGAAAGTAAAAGCCAGGGTAGGCTTGAAAATGACCCAGACCCGGAACATGCTCTTCTACATACACAGATCTACTGGCAGGAGACACAATCTTTACTGGCTCAAGGTGTTAAGAGGTGACTGCTAAGTTATGAAGAAATACAAACCATTCCTAGAGAGCCAGGATTAAAAATGAAAATGAGAAAAAAACAAAGCAAAACAATAAACCGAGCAGACACCACAGACAGCACATCCCCTGGGGAAACATTCCACAGATTCAGCCTAGATAATTTACTAAACAAATAAAACACCAAAATGGAACCCACAAGGGTGGAAGTCAGAACCCAGAGTGGCTAAAATAGCCTTCCACTGAACATTCACTGGGCTTCCCTGGTAGCTCAGCGGTAAAGAACCCGCCTACAATGTAGGAGACACAGGTTCAGTCCCTAGGCTGGGAAGATCCCCTGGAGAAGGAAACAGCAACTCCAGTATTTTTGCCTGGGAAATCCCATGCAGAGAGGAGCCTGGCAGGCTACCGTTTATGGGGTCACAAAAGAGTCAGACGTGACTTACCGACTAAACAACAATAAACATTCACTATAAGATAAGCGAAAAAAAAAATTTTTTTTTAAAAGATAAGCAAAAAGGAAGAGTGTGTGATGTGAACATGATTTACTCAACTTGTTAAAAGACATCCATGAAAAATTTATAGGTAACACTAAACAGTGATAGAGTAACTGTTTCAAACTTAATATCAAAAACAAGCCAATGATATCTGCTCTGGATACGTCTATTCAACATTTTATTGGAGGATCTAGCCAGTGCAACAAGGCACGAAAAAGAGATTAAAAATTAAGGCACACATACTGACACAATCTTGTTTGTGAAAATCCTAAGGAATCAAACAAACAAAAAAACCTTACCAAAATTACCAATATGAGTTTAGCAAGTTCCCAGAACATAAAATTTTTTTGCATGTTATTTCCACAGAAAAGCTACAAAACATTCAAAAATTAAGAAAACAATTCTATTCATAGAAGCGTAAAAGGGATAAAATAATTAAGAATAAATTTAACAACAAAAAAGCAAAAACTGTACTCTCAAAACTACAAAACAATACTAGGAGAAATTAAAGATTATCAAAATAAATAAAGAAACAGCTCATGTTCATGGATTGGAAGACTCAGTATTATTAAACGTGATTCTCCCAAAACTGATCTAGACTCAACACAATCCCCCCAGAAAATTCCAGCAAGCCTTTCTGTAGTAATTGATGAGCTGATCCTAATGTGTACATGGGGATGTGAAGGCTCTGGAATAGTCAATACAGCAAAAAAGTTGGACTAACACTACCTGATTTTAAAACTTATTATAAGCTACAATGATCAAGATAGTGTGGCAATGACACAAAAATAAACATAATCAGATCAAAAGAAAAACACTGAGTCAGAAATAAACCCTTATTCTTATGGTCAACTAATTTCCCACAAAACTGCCAAAGCTATTCAATAGGGAAAAACAGCCTATCATCAAATGGTGGCTGGGTAAGGTGGATATCCATATACAAAGGAACCCTTAGACCTTCATATCACACAGAAATCAACTCAACTATGACCCTAAATGTAAGAGCTTAAATACAAAACTTCCAAAAGAAAACATAAGAGAAAAACCTTCATGACTTCAGACAGTTCTCAGTATACCACCAAATGCACAATTCATAAAAGAAAAAAATCAATAAAAAGATTCCATCAAAATGAAACATTTTTACATTTCAAGACAACATTGAGGGGAAAAAAGGCAAACAGACTGGGAGAAGATATCTGCAAGTTATTTATCTGATTAAGGACAGGTATCAAGAACATATGAAGAATTCCTACAACTCGATGATGAAATAACAAAAAACCCACTTAAAAATCGGCAAAATATTTCAATAGATTTTCACCAAAGAAGATATCTGAATGGTGCATAAACGTTTGAAAAGGTGCTCAACTATACTACTTACTAAGAAAACGCAAAGTAAAACCAGAGATATCATTACATACCCACTAGGATGCCTACAGTGTAAAGAACAGATAATACAAAGTGTTGATAAGGACATGGAAAAACTGGGGACCTGTAAAAAAGGTACAATCACTTCAGGCAATGGTTTGCTAATTGCTTAAAAAGTTAAACACAAACTTACCATATGACCCAGCAATGCCATTCCTAAGTATTTACCCAAGAGAAATGAAAATGGAAAACACACAAATGCCCACAACTTGGTGAACTGATAAACAAAATGTGGTATATCCATGCAAAGGAACACGACTCAGGAATAAAAAAATTTTTTTAAGATCTTAACTTTTATTAATGGCTTCTCCACATTATTTCTTTTTAATATTTTTTTAAATTGAGGTATAAATTAGAGTAAAATGCCCACATCTTATCAAAAATTTTGATAGCTGAGTTTGTTAAGTTTGGAAATATGCATATAAGGGTTAAATCTACACCCTCAAAGCAGAGAATATCTTTTTTCTTTTCCATTATTCTTTATTACAGGGTATTAAATACAGCTCTCTGTGTGTGGGACCTTGTTGCTCACCCATTCTATAAGTAACAGTGTGCATCTGCGTGTCCCATCCTCCCGATCCTTCCTCCCCTCTTGCCCCCCGGCAGCCCCAAGTCTGTTTTCTATGTCTGTTTCTACTGTGTAGATAAGTTCATTCACATCAAATTTTGGTTTTAATGTATAAATGGTATCATGTAGTATTTGTCATTCTCTGACTTACTTTGCCTAGTATGATAATCTTTAGGTCCATCCATGTTGCTGCAAATGGTATTGTTTCATTCTTCCTTATGACTAATACTTCATTGTGTATATGTATCTTTAAGGTCTTCTTTAACCATTCCCCTCTCAATGGGCATTCAGGCTGTTTCCATATCTCGGCTATTTGTAAATAATGCTGCTATAAGCATAGAGGTGCATGTATCTTTTTGAATTATAGTTTTATCTGAATATATGCCCAGGAGTAGGATTTCTGATCATATGGCAACTATTTTTAGTTTTTTGAAGAACCTTCATAATGTTCTCCATAGTGACTATACCACCTTACATTTCCACCAGTACTGCAAATATTTTCTTCACACTTTCTCCAGCATTTGTTATTTGTAGGCTTTTTAATGATGGCCATTCTGACCAGTGTGAAGTGGTATCTTATTGTAGTTTTGGTTTGCATTTCTCTAATAATTAGCAATGTAAAACAAACTTTTGACAGACAGACAACATAGGTGAAACTTAAAAACATGCCACATAAAAGCAGCCAGACAAAAGATACTACATGTTGTATAATTCCATTTATGTGAAACTCTGGAAAAGGCAAATCTACAGAGCAGAGAAGACCAGTGATTTCCTGGGGCTGGAGGAAGTAGCAAGAACAAACTATAAATCAGTGAGATGAAGCTTTTAGGGGTGATGAAAACATTCTAAAGTTGGTGCAGTGTGATGACTATGCAATTCTGTAACTTGGCTAAAATCACTGAAGAGTAATCTTATTATGAGTGCATTTTACAGTATGCAAATTATATCTCCAAAAAGTTGCTTAAAAAAATTACAATGAAACATTATTAGTCTAAAAATCAATAAAATTTTTAAAGGAATTTTAAATACTACCTCAACTATATATCTATGCCTTAATATTTAAAAATAAATAAAACAAAATAACGAGAAAGAAATAAATTCTTAAAAAAGAAACTAGTGGATATAAAAACCCCAAAATATCACAGGTCAGTGGGGAAGGGGTGAACCAACAGTATACCCATTGTCTTAATACTACTTTGCTGTTGTTTAGTCGGTAAGCCATGCCCTACTCTTTGCAACCCATGGACTGTAGTCTGCCAGGCTCCTCTGTCTGTGGGATTTAATACTAGAAGTAGGGGGGAAAGGGACTCCATCTGAAGTCCTACACAAAATAAATTCCAGGTGACCTGAAGAGGTAAGAAGGAGGGGAGTGAAGACAGGACAAATCAAAAGAAAGATATAAAGACCAAGGTGATTTCAGGCTGAGGTAAACACATAAAGAACACTTTATGTATGTAGTTTCAGCTAAAATACACAACTGAACTGAAATGGGCAAGTGAAGCAAATCATTCAAAGGAGAAATCTAAGTGGTCAGTAACACCTGAAAAAATGTTTGACCTTAATAAGCAAAGATATGCCTGTTAAAATTCTCTCTGTATAACCTCGTGGAGGGGGCGAAAGCTTTTTAAAAGCCTTGTAAGCCACCTTCACCCCAGTTGATGGGGGAGTGCAAGGGGTACCCTTCTTGGGGGTAACCATGCAGAAGGAACCCTCCCTACAGACAATGCATCCCTGGGCTTCCTCCGGGTCACCCTTCCCAAGGAGGCTGGCCAGGACAAACAGAGGGATAAGACTCTCATCTGAGCTCTGACAACCAGGGTTAACTCTAAAAATCACCTCACAGGGCATAATTCAACGACTTAGAAAATACGCACAATAAATACAATCATGTATGAAGTTTTCAAAGAACAGATGATAAGGGGCAAACACAGCATGCTCACAATCACATGCTCACAACTTCATACTGGCATTTTTTGGAGGGTAGTTGCTGGGTGCCTGGCATACGGCCAGTATGACTGAGGACATATGAGTGAGGACATCTATATTTTACTTAATGAAGTTAAGAGTAGAAACAGAAATGTGTGACGAGAGGCTACCATATTAAACAATGTGGCTCTCAAAAACCAACTTTCAGCCTAGGCTGCCCCCTGCCCATCTCTTACCCCACTCGATGCCTGGCCTGAGTGGAAGAGGAGCTTAGCATCCACTGTGGCAGAGGTCACACCACAGAGTCCCGAGGGCCTGGATAGCCAGGAAACGCACTCTTACCTCCTCCTCCTCTTCTGAGCCACTCTCTTCACTATCAGATCTTGGAGCTACTTCATACCTGGGAAGGGAAAAAAAATCAGTGTTGTAATATAAATCTCCCCAGGAAATTTGCCTAGAGGTATAGACTTCAAGTTTCCAATGCAGGGGGCACGAGTTCAATCCCTGGTGGCGGAACTAAGATCCCGTATGTCATGCTGCATGGATTAAAAAAAACAACTCCCCAGAACCAGCACAATTCACTTTCTTTAGCAAATTGGCCTGTTCCCAATGCAACCAGGATCACTCCTGGCAGCCAGCTCCTGTGGAACGAGGCTGGCCTTCAACCCAGGATACTGGCTGTCACTGGTCCGCGAGACCCCACTCACCCCGGGTTCATCTCCAGCCAGGCCTCCAGCTGCCCGGCTTTGGGTGCATCTGTGCCTGTGAGGATCTTCCCACTCTCCACATGGATCACTTTCACCGGCAGGTCACTCATTTGGCTGGTCTCGTCTAGAGGCTGAAAGAAAGTTACATGCGGGATGTGAGGTTCTGCAGAGTCCATACCCTGGACATCCATCCATGCACCAGGGCCATCTGGAAATTGCCCCCCACCCATCCCAACTCCAGCCCAGAAAAATGGTACAGAAGCTGGGTTAACTGAATGTTAATAACTCAGTAAAAATATATGTAACCAATTGATTACAGCTGTGTTTCGGAAATAACTGATATAAATATTTTTAATTTTCAAATAGGTATTGGGTTGGCCAACTCAATAACATAATCATACAGTCCAAGATTCAAGAGGATAGAGTGTGGACTCTCCACATCCCTACCCCTGAACTCAACAGTTTCTCTCTTCACAGGTGCCCACCCCTATCAGTTTCCAGTGTGGCCTCCTAGATCAATTCCACACAGAACAAACAAGGTCTTCTGTATTCATTCCTTTTTGACCCAAGTGACTACACTATTCCCATTCTTCTGGCCCTTGATCACTTCCATTCACACTGGATTTGCAGACTGCATCATCCTGGCTAGACCTTCAGGATGAGAATGAAGGTGGAAACCTTTGTCTGCACTCACTAGGAACTTAATACCTCCCAAACCTCCCTGCAGTCTGTGCTCACCACCTACAATGACCCTACAATAGTAGAGACTATTGTTGCTATTTAGTTGCTCAGTCATGTCCAATTCATGCAACCCCATGGACTGTAAACCCGCCTAACCGCCACCCTACAAACAAGCTCTGCAGGCTGCCTCAGTCCGTGACTGTCACCCCTGAATCTTTCCTGGGAGCAATCAGTGTGCTGACGGTGGGACTTCTCCACCCCAAGAATCCTGACTCAACTGCCCTGGGGTCCTCACCCCAGGCCTCTCTAATTTTCAAGTTCCCCAGGTGACAATGATGTCCAGCCAAGGCTGTGGACCACTGGGCGAGAACAAAGACCAAGACCACCAGTAGCCACCATGGAGCAGTGCTTCCTGTCACTATAACAGGTGAGCAGCTGCAGTGGCTAGCCTCCAGAGTTCCCTGAAGCACAGCTTCCTGCCATACAAATGCCCCAAATGGCCTCGGGAAGGCTTTGTGCTGTGGTCAAATGCCAGCCCACATCTCTTCTCAAAAAATTCAGCATTTCAAATAAAACCCTGTGGAGTAAGTATCAATACATCATGTGAGTTAATCACTATAGTCATTCATTTCTGGGAATCAGGCCAAGAGGCAAAAGTGTGCCAGCTACTATGGGCTGTGTTGTGTCCCCGCTGGAACTCAAAAGCTCAAGCCCCAACTCTCCAATGTGACTGTGTTTAGAGACAGGGCCCTGTGGGAGTGGGGGGTGGGGTAATCCAGATTAAGGTCATAAGGTCATAATTAGGTCATAAAGGTGGGGCCCTCATGATGGGATTAGTGATTGTAGAAGAAACCCCAGAGTCTGCTCTCTCTCCAGCCAAAAGGCAGGAGGCTACAACCAGGAAGAGAGTCCTCACCAGGAACCAACCTTGCTGAAACTTGAGCTTGAATTTCCAGCTTCCATAACCATAAAAACACGTACTTCTGATGTTTAAGCCATACCAGCTAAGAGAGCATCAAAAGGTAATGTACAAGGAGGCTCATTCCCACAATGTGCATGTAGAAAAGGAAGCAGACGGGGGAAGAGCTACCAACAAGGGAGGAGGCACACAGCGGTCCATCAGAGCTGCTTGGCGCAGGATGTCTGCTCTATCTATGGATGGGAAGCGACTTAAATAGCTATCAATCTGAACAATGAACGAGATTCTAAGTATGTCAATACAAAAAAATAAGAGGAGAACTAATGGCTTGATAGGGAAAGTGGTCTAAGATACTCTGCCAAGCAGAAGTCTTGCTATGTGTAGACTAACCCAAATGGTCCCCAAACAAAACAAAGAGAATGCAAGCATGAAGATTCTGGGAAAGGTGGAGAGAGAGATGTCAACCAGAAATCAACATGCATGCTCATGAGAGAAAAAGCACCACGGGGGTTTCTACTTCTCATGTCGTCACTACATTCACATTTCATGTTACCATTTCTTCACCACAGAGAAGTACTGCATTTATGATTCAAAGCAAGCAAGCAATAGCCACATCTCTAATATGGTGACATTAAAAAGAGTTAGGTGGGACTTCCCTGGCCGTCCAATGGTTAAGAATCTGCACTTCCAATGCAAAGGGTGTGGGTTCAATTCCTGGTCGGGTAACTAAGATCCCACATGCCTCTTGGCCAAAAGCCAAAACATATAACAGAAGTACGGTAACAAATTCAATAAACACTTCAAAAATGATCCACATTAAAAAGAATAAATAAATCTCACAAGTAAATAAATAAAAAGGGTATGGTGAGGGTAATAAATAGAGTGAAGCTGGAAAAACTAAGATACAGCACGAGGCGGAGGGGAAAAGAAAACCTCCAGGAGGCTTGTGTACGGACGATATCCCAGAGCAAACACACCCATGATTACTCAAGGCTTCCCTCTGGGAAGGGGTTTGGAGGAGGGATTAAGGGAGAGGGTAAAGGACACACCTTGTATGTGCACATCTCACATCTTTCTTTCACATGAGTGTGTCGGGCGAGAATGGCTGCCTTCAGGAGGCAGAGAGGAATGTTCTGAAAGAGATGAATGTGTGGGGATAGTAGCCCCTCTCTAGGGGGCCTCTTGGCATGGTTCTGACTTTGGGACCAGGCTAATAATTCACATAATAAATAAATAAGTAAGGAGTAAATGAGGAGTCAAGTGGCCCAGTAGTAAAGAATCCCCCTGCCAATGCAGGAAGCATAAGAGACATAGTTGTTCAATCCCTGGGTCGGGAAGATCTCCTGGAGGAGAAAATGGCAACCCACTCCAATATTCTTGCCTGGGAAATGCCATGGACAGAGAAGCCCGGTGGGCTACATACAGTCCATAGGGTTGCAAAGAGTCAGACACAACTGCGGAACTGAGCATACACGCACACAAACAAATAAAACCAACAAGGATTGGGGGGAACCTCGCAACTGGGAGGACCAAGGGGAGGACTAATCTTCTGAACAAAGGATCTGAAGCACATACTTACAAAATAATAATAATTTATTTACTTGGGTGTGCCAGGTCTTGGTTGTGGCATGTGCGGTCTAGTTCCCTGACCAGGGATCAAACTCAGGCCCCCGACATTGAGAACACGGAATCTTAGCCACGGGAAGTCCCTGGAGCATATATTTTAATTTGAAAACAAACACTGACCGCCGTTAGCCACTCTGAATGTACTTCCTGCGCCTTCTAGGACTGTGCGAATAAGGGATTATATTGTGGCAGATAGGAGTCAGTTTGGAGCTATTTTAACATGGGCAGGGAGGAGAGAAAGAAGCCAGGGTATTGGATTAGAATTGGAGGTATCAATGCAACTGCAACATTTTTAATTTATAAAACTAGTTAATATATGTAACTAGCAAAGTGGATGTGCATGCATATACACATCTATTTCCTAGTTCTGTCCGCTGAGAGGGCCCTACAAGAATGAAACCTCAGTAGCAATGAGCACACGTAGATCATGGTTTACAAATATTCTTTTCTGATGAAAGGAGTCAGGGCTCCTTGGAGAAATGGCTGAGTTCAGGAGGGAAAGCAGATGAGCCTGGGGCCGTTCTGGTGTGTGAGGAAGTCAGAACGCCCTCAGAGAACAATGCAGCAGAGGGACACAGGAGGTAAGGTGAAGGGGTTCCCACTGGCCCAAACTGGAACAGTCTTGAGCATCAAAATATATAATGATAGTGCAAGATTAAACAAAGTAAATCCATTAGACTAAATAAGAATCCATGAGTCAGTACCAGGGGTTGGCAAACTATGGCCCATGAGCCAAATAAAAGAGAATGGAAGGTTACATCCATCAGCAGAGGAATGGATAAAGAAAATGTGGTGCAGGACTTCCCTTGTGGTCTGGTGGCTAAGAATCCACTTGCCAATGCAGGACATAAAGGTTCGGTCCCCAGTCCAGGAAGATACCACATGTCATGGGGCAACTACGCCTGTGCACCTCAACTATTAAGCCCCTGCTCTAGAGCCCGTGCTCTGCAACAAAAGAAGCCGCTGCAGTGAGATGCCTGTGCATTGCAACTGGAGAGTAGGCCCTGCTCGCCAAAACTAGAGAAAGCCCCAATACATCAAGTAAGAGCCAATGCAGCCAAAAATAAAATAAAATTTTAAAAAAGACAGACAACAACATGTATTGATAAAGATGTGGAGAAACCGGAACCCTTACAATAATACATTACTGATATGGGAAAAAAAAAGATGTAGTACATACACATAACAGAATACTATGCAGCCATAAAAAGGAATGAAATTGTGCCATTTACACAGACATGGACGGACAAAGAGATTGTCATACAAAGTGATTTAAGTCAGAAAGAAAAATCCTGCATATTAATGCATATATGTGGAATTTAGAAAAATGGTACTAATGAAATTTATTTCCAAAGTAGAAAGAGTGACACAGATGTAGACAACAAATGTATAGATACTGATGAGGGAAGAGAGGATTTGGGATGGATTAGGGGACTGAGATTGACACATATATACTACTATGTATAAAATGGACTTCCTAGGTGGTAAAGAACCTGCCTGCCAATGCAGGAGATGTAAGAGACGGGTTTAAAGGGTCAGGAAGATCCTCTGGAAAAGGAAATGGCAACCACTCCAGTATTCTTGCCTGGAGAATCCCATGAACAGAGGAGTTTGGTGGGCTACAGTCCACATGGTCGCCAAGAGTCAGACATGACTGAAGTGACTTAGCACAGCACACATGTATAAAATAGATAACTAATGAGAACCTGCTGTAACACAGGGAACTCTACTAAATGCTCTGAGCTGACCTAAATGGGATACAGCAGAAACTAACACAACATTGTTAAGCAACACTCCAATTTTTTTTAAAAAAAGGAAAATTTTCCCTTCTTGCAGAAAGCCAACTAATAAATACAGAAGGAATACTAACTGGAGAAATCACCATCTTGCAACTGTTATGGCAAAAACTGATGCAGGCAAACGCAGTGGATGCTGCAACAGTGGGTGAAGGTTTGAGGCATTATAGTATCTTCACATAGTCTTGAGTTATCTCCCCAGAAGGTACTTCCAATCACTACAGCTGGAGACGCCTAGGCTGACACCAAGGGATCAAAGTCAACATCACCAGTGAGGGAAGAAATCTACGCCACACACTCCTCATGTGATGCACGGAGAAGGACCCTGCATCACTCCAGCGTTTCCTGCTGCTGTGAAGGACACCGGAGGGTCAACTGTGAGACCGTGCAAGGGCTGTGGATCAGATGACCGTACTGCATCAGTGTCCATCTCCTGGTTTTGACTGCTGCACGCTTATGGAAAAGAACAGCTTTGTTTTGGGGATGTACACAGAAACACACAGAGGAGCAGAGTGCCATCGTGCTGGCATCTGACTCTCAAATGGCTCATTAAAATGAATATGAACAGTGGGAATGTGGGCGATGAACACACAAGGGTTCTCTGGAGTGTTCTTACACCCCTCCTGGGAGTCTAAAATTTTAAAGAAAGAACTGAGAAATAAATAACAGCCCGTGAACAGAAAAAGCCCCAGAAGGAAACACACCCACGAGTGAATGATGTGCTCTCTGCGGAGTTGGGGCGAGGAAGAGTGGGGGGTGGCAGGGGACCGAGGGGCACTCTTACTAGCACCATATACTTTTGTAAGTTCAGAATGAGAAAAACTTTAAGGGTGAAATTGACCTAACTTCCAGGGATGGGCTGGCAGGTCCACAAGAAGAAACCCCTGGTTCCTTACCTCACCATCAGGTCCGATCACAGGCGTCTGTCCTTCAGCATTTTCTGCCTTCTGGAAGGGAAGAGAGTCACAGTCAGCCCCTGATGGAGAAGGCCAAGGTGCATGCCCACACACAGCCACTCCACCCTCACCAAGGGGCGCACCTTCTTTTTCTTCTTCTTCTTCTTCTCCTTGGCGACCTGGGCGGCCTTGTGCTGCCGCACCAGCTCTGTGAGGTTAGCTACGTATTCATCTGTCTGCTGCAGGAGGTAGGCCAGGCGCTTGTCCTTCTTCTGGTCAATGAGTTTTCGGTAGCCCTCCTCGTCCTCGGCCTGCAGAAGCCGGCGGTTATGGTGGAAGCTCGTGACTTGCCCATCCACCAGCACCCAGGGCGGCCAACAGACTCAGAAGCCTGTGGGGTGTTGTTAACCAGTGGCCGGACCCACATTCAGGAAGCGCTGAGCTCATGGCCTACACTGTGCTCTATTCATCCCCTTCACATCACTATGGACTCCCCTTCAGAACGTCCTTAATTCCCATCCCCGCCAGGCCCCATACGGTCCTGCTGCACAGACAGGACCATCTTGGGACTTCACTGGCGGTCCAGCAGTTAAGACTCTGCTCTTCCACTGCAGGGAGTGTGAGTTCAATCCTTGGTTGGGGAGCTATGATCCCACATGCCATGAAGTGTGGCCAAACTAAGATCGGGGCGGGGGGTGGGGGGAAGCGCCATACCCTCTATTCACAAAGACACCCAAATTCCAACCATTCTCTCCACCTTTTCTGAACCACTACTCTCCCACCTGGCTTTCTGAGAAGACATCGGACCACACTGCCCTCCTCTAGCTCACAGCCTCCCTTTCAGGGTCTGAATTAAATCCGAAGCCCTCAATGGCCTGCCAGGCCCCCGTGACTGCCGCTGGGACTCCAACCTCACTGCCTTGAAGCACGCTGTTCCAGGGGGTACTGACTGAGCCCCACACATGGCTTCCTCCTGCCTCAAGTCTATGCTCTTGGCTCCCCTCTGTGCTGGGAGGCACACCCCCCTCCCCCCACCAGATCTCTGCAGTCGTGGTTCGGGCCCACCCTGCCCGGAACACCAGTTAATCCCCACTCCCTGGTTCTGCTTCGTTCTCCGCTGTGCACTTCTCACCCCCAAATCCATCCTGTCTGTCTCTGTGGGCACCTATCTCTCTAGGGCCAGCATGACCCCACCAGGGAAGGGACCGAGTCCTCCTCACCACTGTGGTCCCTGTCCAGCCACCAGGGCTGCCAGTATTGGCCCAATCAGAGAACCCTCCTTGAATAATAGGTGGTTACGTGCAAAGGGGTGGGGAGGCTGGGCACACACTAGGTGGCTGTCCCACTAGGGGGCAGCTTCACCTCCAGTTTTCAGAGACCACAGAGCAGCAAGAGGTCACTGACAGCGTGACCAGGCAAAGAGCTGGAGCCAGGTCTTTAGGACTCCCAAATCCTTTTCCCCTCTGTGCCGCCTCTAACACTGAGCGGCTCCCGACCCCGGCGCCCCCCAGAAGGGACCGGGCGGCCACAGCCGACGGTACCATGAGCCTCCGCATCCTCTCCTTCTCGATTCGCTCATTCTCCTTCTTCTGCTCCCGCTCCGTGTTGGCGTGGTACGTGGCCACTGCCTTGGTGAGCTTCTGGATTTTGCCCGTGACCGACCTGTGATATTCCTTGAAATCCTTGGCATGCTGAAGAATGCTGTTGAGGTATTCCTGCAGGGCAGAGAGAAGAGCCAACTAACTACGGGACCTTTCCCCAAAGGAGACGAAACTCCAAAGCGGGCTTGGTGAAAACCAAGCGGATGCAATCAAATGATCCTGTGACACTGCCTGCCGACAAGGTCCACCACTCTCTGTGGGGACCGTGTGGTGAGAAGGGCCCCCCCAACCCCGCATCAGCAGACCGGGCAATTGCCCTGGCTGGGACAACGTGGCGGGGCCCACCAACCACTGCCCAACGCGCCCCCGTCCCCTCCCCATCCACACCATCGCTGCAAGTGATGTAAGGAAGAAGGCAGAGACGGGCACCAAAATTCAAATCCAAGAATGCCTAGCCCAGCGTCACTTTTAACAGTGGGAAGTGGAGAAAACGCTGTGTGTCCCAAGACAGGGAAATGGTTTCATAAGCCACTGAATGTTGAGCACCCGGAGACAGAAAACAATGTAGACATTAAAAATCATGCTTCAATAATACTTTCAACAGGTCAACATGTCTATATATTTTTTAAAGACAGCTATTTAACCTTTGACTACTATGCATATATAGTGGGAAAAAAAAGATTACAATGATATATACCAAGAAGTTAACAGTGGTTAAACTCTGAATGTTGACTTTTTGTTATTTTAAACTATGCCATTAACAGACACTGTTTGGAGAAAAACTTTAGAAAATACAAATATTTTTATATTAAGTAAAACTAAAAACATAAATATAAATGTACACAGAGAGAATCATCCCAAACCCTGCTTGAATGGAGAGTCTGGTCTCCCTGACAGGCCCTGTAACAACCTCAGTCAGACACTCCCTCTGCTCAGGCCCCTCCGTGGCTGCCACCTCACTCCGAGCACAAGCCCAAGTGGTCCCCCTGCCACAAGGCCCCACACGCCCGTCCCATCACCCCCCTTTCCTCACCTCCTCCCTCCTTCACCCACGCTCCCCCCACTCTGACTACACAGGACACTGGGGTGCCTTCCAACCCCAGGGCCTTGGCATCTTCCCCTGGCATCCACACATCCGTGTGGCTCCTCCCTCGGGTCTCTGCTCAAACCTCACCTTCTCGCGGAGGCCCTCTCTGAATGACCACCCTGTGTGAACGGCTCCTCCATCTGTCTATCCCCACGTCCTGTCTCCTGACACCCTATTAACTCCCCAAACGTCACATGTGCATTAGATTACAGCCCATCTCCCCGACTGTCTTTACTGGTTTTGTTCACTGAAGTACTCTCAGCGCTGAGAATACTGTTATGATGAACAGAGACACACGCAGACAGCGTGTGGAGAGAAAAACTGGGACCCCACAGTGCGGGGCCGACGACCTGCACCCCAGGGATGCACCTGGTGCTTCTGCCGACGCTTGCGCTCCTGCTCGATCTTCTGCTGCTTCTCTAGCTTCTCGGTGATGCGGGCCTCGCGCAGGGACTGCCGCTTGCTGCGCTTATAGGCCTTGGCGTTGAGGGCCGTCTCCAGGGCAGTGTCCCTCCTCATGCACACCACCACCTCCTGCCGCAGCTTCGGGAAGGAAGGGGAGAAATTGGCGACAGGTATAACTCGGTGATGCCCACGTGCCTCCACAATGCAAACCGGGTAGCGGGCTGCCACACCCAGGAGAACCCGAGAGCACAAACACGCGTGGAGAGGACCTGAGGGGCGGGGGAGGGCGCTAGCAGGCACCCACAGTGCAGGAGACGGCTGCCCCTGGACACCCAGAGAGCCTCTCACGTCTTCAGGTCTCCAGCTTTGCCTTCCCTCAACTACACACAAAAGTTCCTACTGGTCATTCAAAAGCAAAGGACTCTCAGAAATAGACCCATCCAAGCCCCCTGCTGCAAGCTGGCCACAGCCACCTTAAGGAAGGCCCACACTTGCTCATTCCAATGGCAGGACGTGGAGAGGAAGCGGGGACAGTGGGTAAGTGAGTGTGAGGGGGAGCACTGTGGCTTAAGGGTCAGGGTACACTTCATAACTGTCCCAGGGACTTCCCTGATGGTCTGCTGGTTGGGTATCTGCCTTGCAATGCAAGATACACAAGCTTGATCCCTGGTCAGGGAACTAAGATTCTACGTGCCTTGCAACAACTAAGCCTGCAACCACAGCTATCAAGCTCTTGAACCACACCTAGAGACCTTACAAGCCACAACTACTGAGTCGGCACACTCTGGAGCCCATATGCCACAACTACTGAGCTTGTGCGTAACAACGAAGATCCCAAGTGATGCAACGATGATCCTGCATGCCACACTAAGACCCAACACAGAGAGAAACAGAGAAAGAAAGATTAAAAAAAAAAAAAAACTGACCAGTAAGCATCTCTCTGAATCTGAGCATGAGTATTGGCAGGAAGGGTCTCTTTCTAACCCCAGAGCCCACGCCTGCGCCCACCTGCCTCTGGAAGTTCAGCAGTCTGAGGGCCTTGAGCTCGATGGTAGCTTTGGTTCGCAAATCCCCGGCCAGGGACCCGGGAAGGTTTTCAAGTTCCTGAATTCGGTGTGCGATGCGAGCCTGCAGCCTAGGGTGTGAAGATGGAAAAAATGACCCGTGACGTGAGGTCTCACCGGTTTACAGGGAACCCCCCTGGTTCCCTTTCTTTAAAGCCAGAGCCTCCAAAGAATCCTCCTCAGCGGAATCCAACACTAGTTCTGACACAGGAGAGGGCAGAGAAAAAGACGCACACAACACAGACTGCGTAGAGGAGGGCAGCCACAGAGGTCCCAGGAGCCGCAGCAAACAGGAAATCAGAGAGGGCAAAGCTGGCTTCTGGCATTTCAGCAGTGGGAGCGAGTCTCTGGAGTCAGGCGGGCCGGGGCCTCCATCCCAGCCCTAGAAATCTACTCAGCTATGAAGTGGGGAGACCCCTCAGAGCAACCCTACAGGCTTGATCTCAGGTTCAAACAGGGGACTTCCCTGGAGGTGCAGTTAAGACTCTGTGCTTCCACTGCAGGAGGCACAGGTTCGATCCCTGGTTGGGGAACTAAGATCTCACATACTGCATGGTACAGCCAAAGAAAAGAAAAAAGCAGGGGTAGAGCATAAAGTTCAAATGGAATAATACCCATATTTTCACACACTTACTTATCGAGCATCTACTGTATGCCAGGGAACACTCGAGGTGTGGGGCTTCCGCACTAAACAAGACTAACAAGGGCACCTGGCTGCTCTCACAGAGTTCGTAAGTTTATCAGGAAGAAAAGCCATAAAGAAATTTAAAAATTAAGTATCTACAGCTATTCCGGAGAAGTACTTTGAAGAAGGGGCTGGAAATGAGGGGTGTGGGAGACAAGTCTCTACCACATGGAGGCCTTGGCAATAAAGTTTAAATAACCACAAGCAGTCATGCACAGGATGTGCAAAGGCCCTGGGGCAGGAACAAGTCTAACCTGTTAAACAGAAAGAGGAACCAGGAGAGTCAAGGAGGTGAGGACAGAGCACTGGGCAGGGGCTACAGAGAAAAGGATTGCAAAATTGATAATGGGAAGCCAGTTTTAACCCAAGAAACAGATGTAAGTTAACTGGGAAAACAGACTGCACAGGCAAGGCCGAGAGCAAGGAGGCTGGGGAGGAGGTGCAGACCAGTTGGCAGGGGAATAGTGCTGGGGGAAAAGAAGCTGAGAGAGTTCACCAAGGGGACACCACAAGCAAGGATCAAGGTCCCATGGTCCGTTTGGTGCTGGATGGGAGGCACACGGGAACAGAGACCGAAGGGAGACAGGGGCCATCTGGACAGGCCATCTTTAAGCCATTCAGGTGGAGCAGGAGGGCAGGCACCCGGGCCCAGGGGCTGGAGCTCCAGGGCTCATCACAGCTGGAGATGCTCTCCAAAGACTGTCATTAAGCTGAGTCACTGATGTATCTGGGGATTTGCGGTGAATGAGGCCAGGCCCCCTCCCCGGACAGAGCTGCCATTACCCAGGGAGGCCAGCCCTGAAGAGGTTACAAACACAATGGAGAAAACGGTGGGAGTGTGAGGTGTTCAGGGAGTGAATCTCAGGCACCCTCAGCACTGTCGGACAGGGTGATACAAATCTACTGTGTGCCAGGCCCCTCACGTAGTGCCCAGTGGCCAGGAGGACAGGGCAAGGCAGACGACAGTGAGTGACATTCAGAAATGTCCACTGCAAAGCTCTCCAGGAGACTTTTTGAATGCAGATGAGCCAAAAGTTGGGATAGGAGAGGAGAACCAGACATGTTCATTCCAACATGTATCTATCTGTACAACGTCCATGGAGGACGGTATTGCATAATCTATGAAACTTCCACGTGCACATAAATCCCCTGTACCCAAACCGAGCCGTGTGCACACATTTACTCTGACACACATGGGGTTCCTCTGCAAGGATGCACACACATCAGGGAACCAGAAGGCTGGGGACCAAGGCAGGAGGGGGACCTCTGGCTGCATACCCCACTGGCCTTCAGAACTGAGCACCACCATCAATGTGTGTCAGAGCTGACAGGGTCAGGGGGGAGGGCACCCCTGGCTGGTGGCAGAACCTCACCTGTATTCCCGCTCCTGCAGGATCTCCACAGGGTCCAGGCCCCGCGGCTTCTGGATTGGGGTGATGCGGCTCTGCTTCTGGTGGAGCGGCACCATGGGGGCAGGCTGGGCTGGCTGCCCCGGTGACTGCGTCTGGGGCGGCATCACAGGGGAGGCAGCCGGCGGGACAGCAGGGGGTGCGGGTGACGGGCGCCCTGTCGGCTGTGGGGGTATCAGCTTCTGAGGTGTGCTCGTGGGGGCAGCAGCATTCGCCATGGGTCCTGGAGGGAGACAGGAAACAGGCTACCACGTTGAGTTCCAGGTCAGCCTCGGGAGGAGATGAAGAGCCTGTGGGGCACTGACTGCCCTGGGGACAAGCTCGTCCTGAGGCTGACACGGGCCGGGCAGCTTCCCAGTCCCCCAGCCCTCACTGCCCCACGACTCCTCACTCAAGGTCTGGCTCCCTCTTCTTCCTCGAGGTCTCAGCCTGCACATCCCTTCCCCAAAGCCCCTATTGGTCCAGGGGCCAACCTGGGGTGGTTATGGTGTGAGCCTGCCTTTCACCCACCCCAGCTACAGCAGAATCTGATTTAAGGCACTGGCTCTTCAAGGCCCATCACTGATCCTCAGGCCCGAAGAGGAGAGGAATGAGTTTGTTTTTGACCTCACAGACGTGACCCTCAAATAAGTACTAACTCGATCTTACACTGAACACCGGGGTGACAAAACCGAGTCGCCCTGCGCTCTGGCCTGCCTCCCACGGCGCTGGGGCATTTTCGGGAGGGAACGGGACCGGCCGTGACCTCTGGGCTCAGGGCACCGCATCCCGAAGGACGGCGTCTGCTCTGCAGCCTCTCCCTTGAGTCGCACGGTGGACTCATTCCTTACTCTCCCTCTCTTCCTGCTACTGGCTCAGAGACCCCAGGATCACTGTGACCCAAAAGACAAGGGTGGGTAGGCAGAGAGGAATGGGACCAAACCCAAGGCTCTGGGAGCCAAGCAAGGCCAGATGAGACTCAAAAGACAGCAGAAGTAGCAGATGTGTCCCCAGCCTACTTCCTCTGACTAGGCTTATCTCAGGGTCTGCACGGTATGAACTCGACATGGGAGTCAGGGCACAGACGTGTCAGCAGGACAGAGGGAACTCACCTTCAGGCCAGGGCTTGGGAGGCCCTCCGGGAGGCTGGCCGGGCATCCCAGGAGGCACGCCTGAGGGTCCTGGAGGGGGCATGTTGGGCCCTCCCATACCTACATGCAGGGAGAAACAGACCAGAGAATACAACGTATCCTGTGTTTATACCTGCACCCGGCCCTGCACCGTGCCCCCACCACGGGCAGCCCTGGCTCCAGGGGACACATCCCACAAGGAGCCCCTTGGTGTGGGCACCAGAGTAGACAAGGGAGCTAGAGAAACACCATTTATCACAACAGCAGCCCTGGTGCCAAGGAAGCCAATGGACGGCAGAGCCCAGACCTGCCAACGCACATGTCCACATTCCTGTCGGTTGGCTCTGAGACCCCTCCCCATCCCAAGTGCCAGGGGCAGTGGGCCCTACCATGAGGCCTGCTGTAATTTGGAGGTGCTGGTCCAGGGCTGGGCCCGGGCCCTGTTGCAGACACGGAGGGTGGAGGTAGAGCTGGCATCTGTGGCTGCATCCCGGGCATCGGCCGCTTGCCCTGCACGGCCATCTGCAGGTGGTCGGGCAGGGGCTGCCCCCGGGCCAGCATCTTGTAGGCCATGATCTGCGCTCTGAGCTGGTGCAGCTGGTTCTGGTTGAAGGGTGTTGGACCCCGGTTCTGCTGCCCCAAAGCCTGCGGGTCGGCACCATCCAGCGGGGCCCCTCCGGGCCCAGACGACATCTGTGGGCCCGAGGACGGGCCGCTAGCTGGAACCGGGCTGGAGGCGTGCTCAGAGCCTCCCAGGGGCGAGGGGTAACCTGTGGGGAGACACGGGTCTGGGTGGTCACTTGGCAACACATATCCAGTGATTTTTAAAGAAAAGATGGGGCCCAGCTTACACTGGCCCCTACCCTGAGACAAGGAGGCCCAAATGACTTTGTACTCAAGATTCAAACAAGAGAAGCCCAGAGGGCACATGCTCGCAGCCTGGTTGGCAGCCTGTACAGAGCTTGGTTCAGCCCACTTAGTAACTTGCCAACGATTAAAGCAGAGGTGACACAAATATCCAGGCCTTCTCTGGGCCCGCCCCTCTGCCCCTCGCCTTGGGCAGGTCCACTCCCCTCACTTCCCTTACCTGCAGAGCCCCTGAGCTTCCTGCCCCATTGACAGGAAGCCACCCCCATTCAGCAAAGAAATAGCCCCGCCCCGCCCCCTCCTGAGGTTCTGACTCAGCAGGTCTGAAGCAGGGACCAGGCGTCTGCTTTCTCTTTCCTATTTTTTTCCAGCTGCGTCATAAGACTTGAAGGATCTTAGCTCTCCAGATCAAGAACTAAGGATCGAACCCAGGGCCCCAGCAGTGGAAGTCCTAACCACAGGACCGCCAGGGAATTCCCAGAGTCTACACTCCTAATACGCTCCTGGGAGACACCAGAGCCACTGTCCTGAGGACCCTGTCCTGCCCAGCCCTTGTCTAACACCTGGCATGGAACACGGTTTCATCCCACCAGTATCCACTTTCCTGGGGCTGCTCTGGGACAAGACAGCCTGAACAGGGCACCAGCTAAGCCCAAGCTCAACAGCCCTCCATGGCAGGGTGTACCACAAGGCTCAACTGTCCTGGGTCCTCGGAATCCATCTATGGGTGACTCCTTTAGCAAAGTGACCTCGGGACTTCCAGAGGGCGACAAACATGAGGAAAGAGGAGAAGGGAAACCATACCTTGGGAATGCTGGTCCATGGGGCTTGGCGGGGGCCCCATGCCTGCATGGCCCCCTGACCGCATCCCCATCCCCTTCATCTGGGTGTAGCGGGGATCATCCGAGATGCCCTTCTCATGCATGGACTCCATTGGCTGCAAGAGTGGACAAGGCAGGATCAGCAAGGGGGCATGGGAAGAGACAGCACAGAAACGCACTGCACGAGAGAAGTTCAAGGTCACTGAAAACGTGAATCCAAAGTCACTGGGCACTGATTGAGCCGCCATGGCCAAGACGTGGTCCTGATGCCTACTTAGGTGTCAAGGCACGTGCGTGAAATAACGCCAGTAAGGGGGCTTGCAGACTGGTGATCTAGAGGCAAGGGCACGGCTGGACGAGGACACCAGGGGACGGTGGGGGACAGTTTCTGATGGCCCAAATCTCACAAGGGAAGCACACGCAGAGCTCCCGGTCAGGAGCGGTTCTAGCCGTCACAAGAAGACCTTGTGACCACAGGGACCCTCTAGCCCAGGAGACTGTAAATCAGAGATAGGCAGTAACTCCTGCCCATGAGGTATGGTAACAATAGTCGAAAGTCCTCACTAATCCCAGACTGGCCTCCTGCCTGCTAGCTGGGAGGGGGCCGTTTGTAACATCATTCTGCCCCTCCTAGGAGACATGATCTCCTAGACATGATCACCAAAATCAGATCTTGGTGGGACAGAATCACACAGCCTCCCTCCTGATGCTGAGCACCAAGCACTCCCCCCAAAGAATGGCTGGCAAAGTGGGCGTCTTCCAAGACCCTCCCAGGCTCAGATGCCAATGTCCAGTTCTTTGGTCTAAGAGGTGGCCCGGCAAAGTCAGCCACAGCTCAACGTGTACCGTGAAAGGAGGAGGAGGAAAAGACACGGGCCAAGAGCAGAGGGCCAGCTTCCCAACCAGAAGCAGCGTGGGGCCCTTGGGATGCTGAGCAGACCCCTGGGTGGGGCCTGCCCTCTGCCCTTTCTCCCCTGGGCTGGGGGAGCTGAGAGACAGGCTTCCTTCCCCCAGGGCAGGCGCTCTCTGCAGGCAGGGGAAGGGGCGGGGACCACCAAACCTCAGCTGTTGGGCCAGCCAGACACATGGCACACATCTGAGAGACATGTCAGGTATCCAGGGAGAAACAAAATACAGAAGGGAAACAGAGGAGAAAGGGGCCTAAGTCAGCACTCGGGGCAGTGGTCAGAGAATCATCAACAGCTTTCTAAGAAATGACCAGACAAATACTGTACCCAAGTTAACAGAAATATATGAGTGATGGGGAGGGTGGAGGGGGATCACCTCACTGCGCTGGAAGTCAGGGGGGTGGCACCTGCCTGAGGTCAGGGAGAGCCAAAGGGATGAGATGGCTCTGCCACCAACTCAGCGACCGTCCCTCTGAGACCCTACTTCCTCATCTGCAAAATGGGAACGATACATACCTGCACCTGATGGGCTGGCAGGAGGGGACTAAGTGAATGGGGTACAAACACATGCACAGCCTGGCAGGGAAGCCGGAGGGGTAGGCAGAGACCCCTCGTCCCCAGGCCTTGTATCTTCTACTGTGACGGCCACCTGTGACCCCAGATGCTTGAAATAGGCACCTTTTCCTTTAGATGCTTTTTATCCATAAGAGAATATTTCCTCATTTCCTCCAACCGCCTCCCAGGAATACAAAGGATGAGGAAAATTCTATGTGTGAAAAGAGGTTTTCCTCATCTCACTGGCTAAAGCATCCTTGATGCGCTCAGGTGAGTGGTCAGGACAATGAGACCCAAGTACAGGATCAAGCGGGGACAGAGGGCACTGGCTACAGTGCTCCGTGAGTCACTCAGGCAAGCCAAGCAGTCTGAGTGCAGGTAACCACAGGCCATAGGCCATCTTTCAGGATTTGGACACTTTTATTCATTAATAAGGCTTCCCTTGTAGCTCAGATGGTAGAGACCCTGGTTCGATCCCTGGGTCAGGAAGATCCTCTGGAGAAGGAAATGGCAACCCACTCCAGTACTCTTCCTTGGAAAATCCCATGGATAGAGGAGCCCGGTAGGCTACAGTTCATGGGGTCGCAATGAGTCAGACACGACTGAGCAACTTCACTTCACTATTCATTAATAAAACAACAGGCGTGCAAGACCCAGGGTTAGGACAGCTGCCAGCTCACAGTGGGGCTCAGGACATACTGCGCACCCTCCCGCCCCTACACGTGTGGACCCAGCTGGTGGGGCCAAGGGCCTGGAGCTTCCTACCTTGTGCATCTGGTGCATGTTGTCCTGAGGGTACCCTCCAGGGCCCTGGGTCGGAATGGGGTGTCCTGCCGAGGGAGGCCCCGGGCTGGGTCCCATGATGCTGTGGGCGGAGCCAGGGGAGGGGCCTGGGCTGGGTCCCAACATGGCTCCCGGGGAGGGGCCTGGGCCGGGAGAAGGGCCTGGCCGAGGAGTTCCGCCCAGGGCTGGGTCCGGTGTGGACATCTTCACAGGAGCTGCGGACAGTGGTCTCCTGCTGGGAAGAAAGTCCTGGTCAGTGTGGGGGTCACAGCCCCTGCTTGGGTGGGTCACAGCAGGTCAAGGACGATCACACACGGTCAGGTCAGAGCCTCTGACAAGCACCCCCCAGCCACCCAGTCCTTTCTCCTCCATTCCTCTCCGAGCAGATGATACGTCAGACACCCAAAAAACCCAAGTGCCCTGAGGAAGGGGTGGGACCCAGGAGGTGGGGCAGCAGGTGACAGATACTGCCTGTCCTCCCTTGGTGGTAGCTTTCTAGTTATAAGAGAGGGCACGTCTCAGGGAAATGCTAACACACCCTTCACGCCCTCCGAATGCTTGCTCATCTTTCTATTTAAGAAAAAAAAGGAGTGTGACTGAGGCTCAAAGCCTCTGCCGGCAACATCATCTGACTGGACCTTCATCAATTCAACTAAAACAAATATTCATGGCAAGGAATGCTGGTTTCAACTTAATTCCATGAGACCAAGTTTCCTTTAAAATAAATTAATTTAAATAAATAAATAAAATGAATTTAAGTTTTAAAAGTAGGCTCCTTTAAAGAGCCTATATAACTAATGGCATAATTACATAACTAACTACATAACTAACTACATTAACTTGTGGCAAATTACATAACTAATGGCACTCTGATATCTCAAATACCTCAAAAGTGATATTCAGGACTTCCCTGGTAGTCCAGTGGCTAAGACTCCATGCTTCCAGTGCACAGGGCCTGGGTTCAATCCCTGGTGAGGGAACTAGATCCCACATGCAGCACCTAAAACCCAGTGCAGTCAAATAAAAAAATTTTTTTTAATTTAAAGTGATACTCAAGGGCTGCAAACTAAAACCTGATACCCAGAAGTATGACCCAGAGCCTCCACAAGATCCAAAAATCAGCCCCAAAATTCCTAATGTGAGCTAAGTCATGACTCCTTTGACTGGTCTGTGAGCTGATCAATTTTATAAGGGCTTTCTACAGTAAGGGTTCAATTTTCAATCTGTTGTGCAGTTATATGACCTTAAGTAAGATTCTCTTTAATGTAATAACCCCTTTCCTGATGACAGAGTAAGGCATTCTCAGTGCTAAAATCTGGAAAATACAAAAAGAACACAGAAATGTAAAATCACCAATCATCCCACCAGACTTAGAGGTTATGTGTCTGCTGGCCCTGCAGACGGCAAGAAAGAGTCCTGCGCTCTTACCCTCCCAGGAGGGTGGGCTGAGGGGTATCTGTGGGGAGAAGGGCTGCAGCTCCGCAGAGCCCCCAGAGCTGTGACCACAGAGCCCTCAAAAGAGAGCGGGCTGACTGGTGCTGCCTCCGTGGCCCCGCCGCACCCCAGGCCTCCTCCTTCGAGGCCACTCCTCACACCGGCAGACGCTCGCGCTACAGGACTACTCAGCACATTCCAGGAACGGTTTCCCTTCAGAGAATCACACCTAGGACCCTTTCATCATTTAGTGGTCTTCAAGATGCAAATTCTAGTGGTTCAATCAAATTTCCCGGGCCTGATGCATCCCTCTAGCTTGTTACTTTAACTGCAATATAGTTAATTCAGTGTTGTGTTCCTTTCTGCTGCACAGAATCACTTTGCTGAATCGGCAAAGTCAATCAGTGGATATGTACATATACACATATCCACATTTTTCTAGATTCTTTTCCCATGAAGGTCAGGCTTCCCTGGTGGCTCAGTGGTGAAGAATCCGCCTGACAAAGTAGGAGACTCCGGTTTGATCCCTGGGTTGGGAAGGTTCCCTGGAGAAGGGAAAGGGTACCCACTCCAGGATTTTGGCCTGGAGAATTCCAAGGACTGTATAGTCCATGGGGTCACAAAGAGTCAGACACGACTGAGCAACTTTCACTTTCACTTAAACTTTACTAGGCTCTCCTGATTCAAAGGATAAATCTTGAAAAGGTACAGGAACATTTTTGGGGATGCTTTAAACATGCTTTACTTTACTTTTTAATATTTTGGCCACAACACATGGCATGGCATATGGGATCTTAGTTCTCTGGCCAGGGATCGAACCCGTGCCTGCTCCTTCTGGCAGTATGGAGTCTTAACCACTAGACCACCAGGAAAGTCCCAGTACAGGAACATTTTTAATTTTCCTGATTTTTTTTAAAAAAAGGTCTTCCTGTGAAAGGTCGGGGTATATCTTCCTGGATAACAGATCAAAAGCCCATATTTCTTCACTCCAGTTTCACAACTAAGTAATGGGAACAAAGAGGATGAGAAATCTCGGCAGAGCCAAATACCTCCCCCTGCCTGTGAACACACCCAACCAAATGAGCAAACACTCCTCCATTCTGCCTGCATCCCTGGTCTCCTCCAGAGCTCCAGGAGCCTTTGAGATAAACTTTAAATACACCCAACAGGAGTGTCAGAGAACGTGCTCACAATCCCTTCCCCACACATCCCAAATCCAATGTGCTCAAGGAAAAATCAAACTTTTTTATTTTAATCAAACTTTGAAAAAACAGAAAACAAATTCGAGACCAATTCATTTGGAAGCAAAATCTGAGATGATTCAAAAAGACCTGTACTTGGAAAACTCTAAGACACTAATGAAAGAAACTGAGGGACTTTCCTGGTAGTCCAGGGATTAAGAATTCGCCTGCCAGTACACAGGACACAGGTTCAATCCCTGCTCCGGAAAGATTTCACATGCCACTGTGAGCCCGTGCGTCACAACTACTGAAGCCCATGCACCCTAGAACCTGCCTGTGCTCCGAAATGAGAAGCCCACAATGAGAAGCCCGCATACTGCAACTGGAGAATAGCCTCTGCTTGCGCAACAGGAGAAAGCCCGTGCAGCAATGAAGACCCAGCAGAGCCAAAATAAATAAACAGAAATCTCACACACACACACACACAAAAGAATGAATCAAACCGAAGATGACACAAATAGAAAGATACACTGTGTTGATGGACTGAAAGAATTAATATTGTTAAAATGACCAAACCTCTCAAGGCAATCTACAGATTCAATGCAATCGCTATCACAATACCCATGGCATTTTTTTTACAGAACTAAAACAAATAATTCTAAAATTTGTATGGAAACACCAAAGACCCCGAATTACCAAAGCAATCCTGAAAGAAGAATGGGGCTAGAGGTATCATGCTCCCTGACTTCAGACTGTTCTACAAAGCCAGAGTAATCAGAGTATGCAAGTATGGCACCGGCACAGAAACAGACAGAGATCAACAGAACAGAATAGACAGCTCAGAAACAAACCATGCCAACGATGGTCAGTTAATCTACAACAAAGCAGGCAAGAATACATGCAGAAAAAAAAATACACACCCAAATGCTCACAGCAGTATTTTTTACGGTAGCCAAGACTTGGGAGCAACATAAAGTGTCCACCAACAGATGAACAGAGTTATAGTCTAGACAATGGAATATTACCCCACCATAAAAAAGAATGAAACTTTGCCATCTGCAACATAGATGGACCTGGCAGGTATTCTGCTTAGTCAATTAGGAGAAAGACAAATACTCTATGTTATCACTTACATATGGAACCTAAAAATAAACCAAATGAATATAACAAAACAGAAACAGACTCACAAATGCAGAGAACAAACTGGTGGTTACCAGTGGGAAGAGATGAAGGAGGAGCAAGAGGCAGGTAGAGGATGAGGAGGTATAAAACAGTACGTATAAAATGAACTACAAGGATATACTGTACAGCACAGGGAATAATAGCCAATATTTTATGATAACTTTAAGTGGAGTACAATGTAGAAAAACGTTTGAATCACAATGCTGTGTATCTAAAACTAATGGAATATTGTAAATCAACTATATCTCAGACTTCCCTGGTGGCACAGATAGTAAAGAATCCACCTGCAATGAAAGAGACCTGGGTTTGGTCCCTGGGTTGGGAAGATCCCCTGGAGAAGGGACTGGCAACCCACTCCAGTATTCTTGCCTGGAGCATCTCATGGATAGAGGAGCCTGTACAGTCCATGGGGTCACAAAGAGTTGTACATGACTGAGCAACTAAGCATGCACACACACATACACACACAACTATCAGTTCAGTTCAGTTCAGTTGCTCAGTCGTATCTGACTCTTTGCAACCCCATGAATTGCAGCACGCCAGGCCTCCCTGTCCATCACCAACTCCCGGAGTTTACTCAAACTCATGCCCATCGAGTCGGTGATGCCATCCAGCCATCTCATCCTCTGTCGTCCCCTTCTTCTCCTGCCCCCAATCCCTCCCAGCATCAGGGTCTTTCCAGTGAGTCAACTCTTCGCACCAGGTGGCCAAAGTACTGGAGTTTCAGCTTCAGCATCAGTCCTTCCAATGAACACCCAGGACTGATCTCCTTTAGGATGGACTGGTTGGATCTCCTTGCAGTCCAAGGGACTCTCAAGAGTATTCTCCAACACCACAGTTCAAAAGCATCAATTTTTTGGCGCTCAGCTTTCTTCACAGTCCAACTCTCACATCCATACTTGACCACTGGAAAAACCATAGCCTTGACCAGACGGACCTTTGCTGGCAAAGTAATGTCTCTGCTTTTTAATATGCTATCTAGGTTGGTCATAACTTTCCTTCCAAGGAGTAAGTGTCTTTTAATTTCATGGCTGCAGTCACCACCCACAGTGATTTTGGAGCCCAAAAAAATGAAGTCTGACACTGTTCCCACTGTCTCCCCATCTATTTCCCATGAGGTGATGGGACCAGATGCCATGATCTTAGTTTTCTGAATGTTGAGCTTTAAGCCAACTTTTTCACTCTCTTCTTTCACTTTCATCAAGAGGCTTTTTATTAGTTCCTCTTCACTCTCTGCCATAAGAGTGGTATCATCTGCATATCTGACATTATTAATATTTCTCCCGGCAGTCTTGATTCCAGCTTGTGCTTCTTTCAGCCCAGCGTTTCTCATGATGTACTCTGCATGTAAGTTAAATAAGCAGGGTGACAATATACAGCCTTCACATATTCCTTTCCCTATTCGGA